TCACTTATACCCCGGACCTTTTCTAAGTTCAAAACATGAAAAATACAATATTATCTCAAAAGATCCCCTAAAAAGAATCCATGCAGACGTTTTTCAAGTAATAGGTCGCACAATTGTTTAAGAAAAGAAATTCTAAGAAAACCCAAATATTCAATTCAAACTTTGCACTCCGTCTCTCCCACTGGTATAAAACATGTTCACTAAGTTTGAAAAGAATCTATGCAGTTGTTTTCAAGTTATAGGTCACACAAAAACATGTCCTCGGAAGGACGGACGGACGGACTGAATTCCTATATAGCCACATGATTTTAGGCTGGGATAATAATGAGACTTCTCATATAGTGCTAGACTCCGTACTTGTGTATGCTCAGGGTGTGTACTATTATCACCCCGGTCAATGGATCAGTGTTCAAACTATTTTCAGTTCTCAGCTCCATGGGGTGTATACACCCCAAACTGCCTGTGAGTCACATTACCATCTCATCCTACCGGATACCTTCTTTGTTGGCTTTGTACAGGAACTGTCCAACCTAACCCATACTGTGAGGTTGCGATTTTATAGTGCTAGCCCACTGAGATACCATGCCGCAGTTTAACATGAATACCCTACTCAGACACAGTACACTGGCTCCGAGCTGACCAGTCCTTGTTTAAGCTCATTGATGCCAAGTGCCAGACAGGGTAACAACAAGTATCATCTTTTAACATCTTTTGAGGCAGTTTTAATCACTACGCTCAAACACACGGAAATGTGAATCTTTGAAACCGATCAAAATGTATATGTGCGTGAGTGCGTGCGTGCGTGCGTGCGTGCGTGCGCTAAAGCGTGATTTCAACCACCCATAACCAGAGTTTTCTTGTGAGGAGTAGTGCACATTAACCTCACATCGGATGCCATATTGCAAACAGGATATCAGTGGACACGTACCAAACTGAAGAGAATCATATTGAATAACAATCTTGGTCCTTAATGGTAAGGTGAGGTGAAATGAGGTTTGACATCACATCCAAGATTATTGCACCTATATAGGGACGTGAATGCAAGTGTGTGACTGCTTGTACTAGTCCGGACTGATGCCGATTTATACTGCTAACCCACTGAGATATCATCCCGCAGTTTAACATGAATACCCCACTCAGACACATTATACCGACTCCGAGCCGACCAGTCCTTGTTTTACCACCTTTAACGCCAGACAGGTAACAACAAGTACCATCTTTTAACGTCTTTTGGTATGACACGGCCGGGGATCGAACCCCGGACTTTCGCTCTCCTTGCGGACGCTCTACCACTTGACCAGGGAAGCGGCCTGATCCTTAGTGCATTAACAGATATATGATGTAGAGTATCAATATAAGTGAGCAATGAAAAGTTGAATTCATTTTCTGGACACGGAAAAGGATGTTTAAGAGATCTGCTACATATTAAACAAAAAACGTACACTCAATGAGTGAACTACCTGCTTGACATCACTAGGACAACGATGTACAAAGGATGCTCTATGGGCTCTACCTCCCAGCGGAACATCCTCTTCGCGACGTCCGTACACAAGCTGTCGGAATACATTTTCAGGAAGTTAAATATTTATGCAGTTACACAAAGTTTAACCAGTGCAGATTGAAAGGATGATATTGATTAGTTTTGTTTGATTGTTTGTTTAACGCTATATTCCAGCTATATAACGTCTGTAAGTAATAGAGTATAGATCAGTCAATGCAGTTGTTGACACCATGGGCATCTATGCAACTAGGATACGATGACAAGTCAGCGAGCCTGACAACCCGGTGCCGTTAGTCGCCTCTTACAAGCAGGGGCGGTCTGGTAGCCTCTTGGTTAAAGCGTTCGCTCGTCATGCCGAAGACCCGGGTTCGATTCCCAACATGGGTACAATGTGTGAAGCCCATTTCTGGTGTCCCCAGCCAGGATATTGCTGGAATATTGCTAAAAGCGGTGTAAAACCATACTCACTCACTCACTCTTACAAGCATGGATAATGATTAAGCCATTTACAATGAAAGGAGTCATTGTAGGATTGAAGTTGTATTTGTTGACGTTCATCAGCTGATGAAGACAATGCCTCACGTGAGCAAATTCCATGATGCGTGAAGTTTCATGGTAAATTTCATCAGCTGATGAACGTCAACAAATACAACTCGAGTCCTTATATTGACAGATACATGAATCATAACAAAACAATCCATTAAACATCCAACTTTAATTATCTAAAACGAACTATGTGAACGAGAGTCGTGACGTCATCCGTCCCAAACATTCCTTGGTTTTACAAACGGCAGAATATTGCGGCTACAACAATGTCATTCCCTTGAAATAACAGTTGTACTAAGTAAAGTTAGCGTTGGAAAGAAATCCAGACCCGACCGAAGCTGCAAATGGATTGATATCAAGGTTCTGTGAACTTTGGATGTGTGTTTGAGTCATACTACGGCTTCCGATGACAAGAGGGGCGGTCGGGTAGCCTAGTGGTTAAAGCGTTCGCTCGTCACGCCGAAGACCCGGGTTCGATTCCCGACATGGGTGCAATGTGTGAAGCCCATTTCTGGTGTCCCCCGCCGTGATATTGCTGGAATATTGCTAAAAGCGGCGTAAAACCATACTCACTCACTCACTCACTCTGATGACAAGGATTACCGCTTGAGGCGGCGCGACAGTGTGGAGCTCAGTGATTTCATTTGGTAAGTCTAGCATTCTGCTTCGAATGGACGCTTCATTTCGGTGACCAGACATATACATGATCAGTCTGGCTTCAAAGCCTGCATCATTCATAGCCTGAATCGATGTCGCTCTCAGTTTTCCCAAATGATTTTTAATGTTATTTTTAGCAATTGAGGAATCCCCTTAAAGTAGTTCTGTATGTCTCCGATCGACACACTCCGGCGCAGTGGTGACTTAGCATAACACGGGGTACTATGCTGGTCCCATGGAACTCTGGGTAGGAGAGTGTCCGCTCGATTGACAACGTAATCACGTGACATACTGACGTTCATCGGGAAGTGAACGACATTCAGCTTTGCGAGGTTACCCGCTACTGTTAATATTTTGAGTTGCGTAACAGTGGGCTAATTCACTAGAAAGCACAGTCATGCATATGCAAATAACATTATACTTATTCTATAAAAAAAATACTTTAACAAAAAGGTGTAAGTGTCACGTACAAACTGTGACGTATGTTGCTTATGGAGGAACTTCTTAGCGAGACTAAAAGTAGCACATATGTTCTAAATGACAATTAAAATCTAGTAACAAACACAACCTCCTATCTGGAACTCGCAGGTGCAAAACTAATACCAGCAGAAGTACTAAAAGAGATTTGGCGAATTAAACTTCAAACACTCGAATGTTTGTTTGTTTGTTTGTTTGTTTGTTTGTTTGTTTGTTGTTAACGCCGCACTCAACAACATTCCACTTATATGACGCGGTCTATTAACTATCAACTGTGGAACACAAAATCCATTGATATCATGAGCATCGATCTAAGCAACTGGTATACAATGACAAGCATCCAACGAGTCCACGAGCTTGACCACCCGACCTGATGACAGGCATGATGAAGACATGCTGAAGACAGGCTCCTTGATCAATCAAATTAAAGCCAAAATTTATCCTGGTTAGCCGTTCGTATGCGCTATTTTGCGAAAGTAAACCACACTAAACCACATAATTTGACTTCGCTAAATGACGCAGTACATGTTTTGCATGCATAGTGTTGTAACTGCATCCCATCTCTAGCATGGTGTAACTGCGGCGCCGCCATGTTGTAAAGGAACTCTCATGAACTTTACCACACTTCAGTCCATCCTACTACAGTCAAGTCTCGTTAATCCGACATCGTTGGTGGGGCGTTGTCCAACAGCAATACCACGTGGCGTTGCTCCAATCGCATTTGCCGATCCAAGATCAGTAGCCAGGCTTTGAATATTAATGAAGTCATCCATGCTTTCTTGTTTACATACCAGTCGACCATGGTGAGTCGACCATGTTTTATATACCTGTTCGTATTTTAAACTGGCTTCATGCACATTTATCTGGCTTCAATTTGTAAACTACATTTGTATAGCTTTGTACATACAGGTTTGAATAGCTTTTCCTGTTAATTGTTATGTTAATCTCTGCAGCCAGTGCGTGTCAAAACACGGGGTTGTGTACTCGCGGTCAGATGACCACGGAGTACGCTGATCACTGTGTCGGATTAACGAGACTGATTAATGAGTGATTTCGGCAATTCTTTGCAAATTAGGTGTGTCGGAGTCGGGGTGCGAGAATGTCGGATTAACGGGACTAAATAGCACTGAATCAATCAGTTCCCATCATTTGTGTCGGATAAAGCCGAGTGTCGGATTAACGAGTGTCGGATTAACGAGACTTGACTGTACTCAGTTAACTGGACAGGGCGAACTCATCACAGGATGATCTAGTGGAGGCGACAAAGCTTCGATTCGATCTCCGACCGCAAATTCCGCACTGTTTTTAAACTTGTTCATTTTATCAACATCCGTAAAGAGGCTGTACATAATGTTGATGTCTCATAGAAGAAATACACTGCGCCCCTCATGGTTATTCTCCCTGGAGTGTTTTGTTGAACGATAAACAACTCCCATTCGTCGTTTATTTTTTAAGTATACCCCGACAGTGAGTGAGTATGGTTTTACGCCGCTTTTAGCAATATTCCAGCAATATCACGGCGGGGGACACCAGAAATGGGCTTCACACATTGTACCCATGTCGGGAATCGAACCCGGGTCTTCGGCGTGAGGAGCGAACACTTTAACCACTAGGCTACCCGACCGCCCCTATACCCCGACAGGAAATAATATATGATAAATAAATAAGTCGAAGGCTCACAAAATTCTATTTATTTGAAACGATTTCAAACGCACTCGGAGTCTTCGTTGTCACAACATTCAGTACATACAGTACACAGGTTAGGAGTACCTAGCGTCAGGATTGTTGCAAGAGCCCAACAGGTTGGGGTGATTGCATGTCATCGTAACCCGACCTTGTGGGGCGTTACTGTTTATTCCAGTCGCAAGCTCGCCTAGTCAAGTGTCGATTAAAAAACAACAACTGTAAATTGATTATTTAACAGCTCCAGTAACAAGGAAGAAGACTGAAATCTAAACAGCATTCGGGTATTTCTTTGGTTTCAGCTCGGGTGGGTGTTATTTGTTCAAACAAGGAAGTATGAAGCCCTCTCTTAAAACATCTCCTGGGCACAAGTGTGACATTGAGGTAGAAACCACAGCGGAACGTCGACCATGGCAATTGTGAGTATATTTTCTTGGTTTTGTCTGAACAACACATACGACTTAAGTCCACTGTAGGTTTAAGGGCACAACACACGTCGAAGTTCTTGGCTGAATTGTGTCTTGTTGTGCTGTGACATCACGAACCGATTTAAACACGTAGTCGTTTATCTCCCATGACAACAGACCTTACTGTATGTGTCTGTGGGTGCTAAGACTTGTGTGAGATCGAAATGTCCACATGTTTTTTCCCTTAGGTTATGTAGCTGAATATGACCATAAACCTTCGGAATATAACGAATACTGGTTGCCCTTTGTGCATCATAATGCGTGAAGCTACACGGGCATGACAAGTTAACCTACATATACAGAGGCAGTTGCTAGTTATAGTAGTTGTAGTTCAAGGCAATAACTAGTAGCATTTTGTCTTGTTCTATTTTCTTTATTTATTAGTTATGTTTTTCGTAGTAGTAGTAGTAGTAGTAGTAGTAGTAGTAGTAGTAGTAGTAGTAGTAGTTGTAGTGGTAGTATTAGTAGCAGCAGTAGAAGTGGTAGTAGTAGCAGTAGTAGCAGCAGTAGGATTAGCAGCAGCAGCACTAGTAGTAGTAGTAGTAGTAATAGTAGCAGCAGCAGTAGTAGTGGAAGTAGTGGTAGTAGTAGTAGTAGTAGCAGTAGTAGTAGCAGCAGTAATAGTAGCAGCAGCAGAAGTAGTAGTAGTAGTAGTAGTAGTAGTAGTTGTAGTGGTAGTAGTAGTAGCAGCAGTGGAAGTGGTAGTAGTAGCAGTATTAGTAGTAGCAGTAGTAGTAGTAGCAGCAGTAGTAGTAGCAGCAGCAGCAGCAGCAGCAGCAGTAGTAGTAGTAGTAGTAGTAGTAGTAGTAGTAGTAGTAGTAGTAGTGGCCCAAGTTGTAAAGTCCAAAGTGCCATCAAATGATACCGCACTGGGACTTCTTAATAATACTGTACATGTACATGTAACGGGTGCTTACTAAAAGCGTTTTGGATATGGATTCGATGCAAAACAATGAGGAAGGAACCTATTATAAAGTTACAGATTTCAGATTGTAGATGACAAAAGCCTAAAATACAGAATACAAAGACATCTAACGAACAAAGTGAACACATGGCAATCCAACTTCGCATTCACAGCAACTTCTTTTTGCCATACAAATCCTGCTCAACATGTGACTAAAAGCCTCCGTTAATCCTGCTCAACATGTGACTAAAGGCCTCCGTTAATCCTGCTCAACATGTGACTAAAGGCCTCCGTTAATCCTGCTCAACATGTGACTAAAGGCCTCCGTTAATCCTGCTCAACATGTGACTAAAGGCCTCCGTTAATCCTGCTCAACATGTGACTAAAGGCCTCCGTTAATCCTGCTCAACATGTGACTAAAGGCCCCCGTTAAATGTTCAAAACAATTCTGGTGGTCATGTGGAGGGCATTTCCAAAGTTGACGCATCAGTGACAAAAATGTCCGATGCAATTTTCTTTTTATACTTTTAACCTATGTTCCATGTGTTTTTCTCAAGTGAACAATTTATTTGCCTTTGCATGTGTTTGTGCCTGTTACCACCTGTGGGGTAGGATACGCTCATCTTTTCGCGAACACCACCATTACTATTTGATTTCGTAGACCCATGCTATTATTATTTGATTTCATAGATCCATGCATTTAATAGGAATTATGGAATGGATTCGCTTTTAATAGAGATTTCTTACGATTATGGAAAAATATTTTTCCGTTTTCATACATTCAACCATTTCTTCTTGCAGGCTTCACCTGTTGTCTTGGTCGCAGTTTTCTCCCTGACATGGAGCGCAGGTACAAACGTCTCCACCGGACATTGCAGGTGTAATGAGACACGACTGCAGCTGGTCGTTGATTGTTCCAGCTGTGACTTAAACTCTGTTCCCAACAATTTACGTGTGGGTGTAGAAGTACTAATTCTCTCCCACAACAATATTCGCCATCTCAACAAAAGCCTTAACAGATATCAAAACCTACAAAGTTTAGACATTTCCTATAATAACCTCATAGGTCTGAACGAAACAGATTTCATCAATATGTTGAATTTAGAATTCCTAGATGTTTCCAGCAACAGGGATCTTGGACTTGCAAATGTTGGGATTGGGCTATCTGGGTTAAAAAACTCATCACTGAAGATTCTGAAAGCGAATCGATTACACAGATACCAAGGGCCGGGGATTGTTGTGAGGCGTCAGGATTTGGAGTTTGTTCAGCACACCAAAATAGAGGAAATTCATCTGGATGGAAACAGGATCGAGCTAATGGATTGCACAGTTCCTTTGCTAATGCCAAGGTCACTAAGACGAATATCCCTTAAGAACAACATGTTTATATTTGGCTTGTACTTACTAACATCTTCAGAGTTAACAATCGAGTGGGCTGATTTTTCTCAACAGCACTCTTCCTATATTCGTCCATTTTCGGTTGACGAGATGTTAACAGTAAATTCAGCTAAGAATGAGAGGATTGGGGATGTTAGTCAACCATGGCCAAACTGCGAGAGCAAACTTTCTATTAACAAGGCTCCTGTAGGACTTTCTGACGGACCATGGCCTGGTAACTGGACAATATTCATTCCTCCTAACATGACATTTCTCAATGTTAGTTCATCAAAACTGAGTTTCAATATTCTAAGGATGGGGCTCGGCCCGAATAACTTAAAACAACTGGATTTGTCTTACAACTTCTTCACACGTTGGGAAGGCCCAGTGTTTGGAATAGACACAATAGAAATCCTTGATGTGTCACATAACTACTGCGGATACATTCACGACAACTTTATCCCAAATCCAAATTCTGTAAAAACATTAAAGGCTAACTCAAATTACCTGGGACTAAGTCTAGGTAATAACAGTTTCAGTAGCCTTGTTAATCTTGAGAATCTGGTCCTATCGGACAATAAAATAAGTTCTCTCCCACCCAATATCCTAAAAGATCTGTGGTCTCTTCAATCTTTAGATATTAGTTCTAACAGTTTGAACTCTTGGGATACAGACATTGAAAGCATGTCTAATTTGACAAAGCTTGACCTCTCCAGTAACCTCTTTACAGAAATTCCACAACGTCTAAGGTTTCATATAGATAACATTTTTCCTCATAGTTTTAAACTTGTTGTGCATAATAATCCTTTAAAATGTGACTGTCTTACGCTGCCCTCCTTAAAATGGATGGAACGAAAAGGGGAAGGGGTCGGTGATATTCAAATGTTGACTTGTAAATTTGTTGATGGTAGAGAACTCAATATGACAAAATTACATGGTATTGTCATGGACCTTGAGAAGATATGTGCCTCATATGTTGGCATTATGATAGGGGCTCTTAGCATTGTGTTTTTAATTCTTGGTGTAGGTATCTCTGGGGTCGCCTACCGATACAGATGGCGTCTGAGGTACTTGTACTATTTGGTCTTGAACAGATACCGTGGCTATATTCCTGCAAGGGATGAAGAGCAAGAATTCGAATTTGATGCTTTTGTCTCATATGCTGATGAAGATCGTACTTTCGTTGTTAGGGATATGAGGCAGATTCTTGAAGAGCAAGAGAGATCAGAGGACAATTTCAGTCTGTGCATCCACCATAGAGACTTTCTTCCAGGAGAAGCCATCGCGGCCAACATCCTGAAAGCCATCAGTTCCAGCAGAAAGACTGTGGTGATCCTGACCAGGAACTTCCTGAAGAGCTACTGGTGTAGATACGAGATGGAGATGGCCAAGATGGAGAGTATCTACACTGGAAGGAACACCTTGCTGGTTGTAGTCATGGAGGACATTCCTGTGAAGGATCTTCCTGTGGATATAGTGGAGGTGATGAGACGGGACTCGTACGTGGAGTTCACAGATGACATGGAGGGGAATGCAGTGTTTTGGCACAGCTTGAAGAGAGGCCTTCGAGGATAAAATACGAATTGGGAGAAACACAGAGAATAGTTTGAAGGTGATTTATATAGCCATTTTTTAACAGATAGGATTAGTCATCTGTTGTGTGTATATCTAAATGTTTGTTTCAACACATTTGTAACAAGCAAAGAACCGTTTATTGTACAGTTCATATCACTGTACGCGCCCTTGCGATAGTTTGAATCCGTTTTGAATAGCCTTGAGAATCTTACTGCAGGTGTATTGTCTAGATGTACTACATATAAAAATGCCAGTTGCTTAGGAAGATACCTTTTTGTGACCCAACTGAACCAATGCATACCAGACCTGCTTTAACTGACGAATATGCTCCGAAGTTTGGCGTGCATTTCCAGTCTAGATCTTGCCGTTGTAAATAGTGTCCTGTATGAAACTAAGACATTTTCTCTGTCATTAGGAGAATCAGTAATTCCTAGATTGTTGTACATCGTAAAATGTATTGTGAAGAATAATAAAGTGAGGTTTGTGTAACGTGGTTGCATTTGTTGGGGCAGTCAATTGCTCAGTTCCTAGACCTCCTTTAAGATATCAGCTAGTGAAAATGCCGTTTGCACAAGTTAATCACTGATCTATACTTGGCCACTTCTTCTGCACCAGTTACTGTAGACAATTTACATGATAATCGCTGATCTATACTTGGCCACTTCTTCTGCACCAGTTATTTAGGACAATTTACATGATAATCACTGATCTATACTTGGCCACTCCTTCTGCACCAGTTATTGAAGACAGTTTACATGATAATCACTGATCTATACTTGGCCACTTCTTCTGCACCAGTTATTGTAGACAATTTACATGATAATCACTGATCTATACTTGGCCACTTCTTCTGTACCAGTTATTGAAGACAATTTACATGATAATCACTGATCTATACTTGGCCACTTCTTCTGCATTAGTTATTGAAGACAATTTACATGATAATCACTGATCTATACTTGGCCACTCCTTCTGCACCAGTTATTGAAGACAATTTACATGATAATCACTGATCTATACTTGGCCACTCCTTCTGCACCAGTTATTGAAGACAATGTACATGATAATCACTGATCTATACTTGGCCACTTCTTCTGCACCAGTTATTGAAGACAATTTACATGATAATCACTGATCTATACTTGGCCACTTCTTCTGCACCAGTTATTGAAGACAATTTACATGATAATCACTGATCTATACTTGGCCACTTCTTCTGCACCAGTTATTGAAGACAATTTACAAATTAATCACTGATCAATTCTTGGCCACTTCTTCTGCATTAGTTATTGAAGACAATTTACATGATAATCACTGATCTATACTTGGCCACTTCTTCTGCATTAGTTATTGAAGACAATTTACATGATATTCACTGATCTATACTTGGCCACTTCTTCTGCACCAGTTATTGAAGACAATTTACATGATAATCACTGATCTATACTTGGCCACTTCTTCTGCACCAGTTATTGAAGACAATTTACAAGTTAATCACTGATCAATTCTTGGCCACTTCTTCTGCATTAGTTATTGAAGACAATTTACATGATAAGCACTGACCTATACTTGGCCACTTCTTCTGCACCAGTTATTGAAGACAATTTACAAGTTAATCACTGATCAATTCTTGGCCACTTCTTCTGCATTAGTTATTGAAGACAATTTACATGATAAGCACTGACCTATACTTGGCCTCTCCGTTTGCGCTATTTACAGAAGACACGATGTATGTTAACCATGTGAACACACCTGTCATATTCACATATTCGCTTAATTTGTCTCCCGAAAGACAGACATCATTTGAGACACAACATATGAATTATACCTGTCGTTTGTACATTTCTGGCACCTTGGTATTAATTAATGAAACACTCGTCATGTGATTATCATGTAATCTCCACTTTCACATCACAAGATAAAATTACAATCCATCATATTTTTCGTCAAGGACATTTCCACACTATCAAGGTCATACGCAACTGGAACAAATGCCATTAACTCTGTGTGAAATAGAGTTGCTTAGCTACACCAGCAAGCAAATGTCTATTTCTGGGTATTTTAGCAGTGAGTGAAAGAGTATGCTTCCATGCAGCTTTTAGGAATATTTCAGCAATATCACGGTGGCGGAAGAAATGGGCGGTACACATTATGTCCATGTGGGGAATCGAACCCGGGCCTCCGGCGTGAGGAACCAACGCTTAACCACCAACGCTACACAACCGCCCTTGGGGTTAGGAGACAATGATTCGGGAATCAGGGGTGTGCAATGTACTCAGTGCGAAACATTAGAGTGTATTCCGGATTCAGCGGTAGGAGGTGTTGGCACCCTCATCTCTCCCCATCCAGAATTGTGGGAAACTTTCTGTTGACGGCCATCACCTCTTGTGCACCTCGGGAAGTTGTCAACACAGCTGTGTCACTAGACACTAGACACGAGTCACTAAGGAAACGGGGACATAGGAAACACCTGTATAGATTATGACGAAGACAGGAATAGTGTCGTGTGAAACGACAGACGGGAGCAAAATGGCGACCAGACTGCTTGCGGTGATCGTGTTGGTCACACTGTTGCCTGTTTTGGCGTCACAGAGGTAAAAGTGCTTCTGTTCTCTAAATTCGTATTTGCTTGATAGCTTAATTACTTTTCGTAATTCGTAATTACGCTTCTTGGAGTAAAATACAATGCTATTAATCTGTGAATGTCCTGCAACGTTGTCTATATTTTTCACAGACACATCGCAAGACGCGGGGCGCTGTCGTATGTGGTGCACAAGGGATGTTTGTATATGGCTCAGTAAGCTAATGAATTATTTACATTTAATTAAAATGTGCTATGCAGTGGTTAGTACCCATTTCTAGTTGCGGTCTGGGCTTTGTGGCCAATGCAATATGTGACACTGAGAGTACGTAAGCTCCTACTATCCATGGTAAAATATTAGTTATAGCGTTCCTTCGCTATAGTACCGCGTTCTCTCGCTATGCTACCGCGTTTCCTCGCAATAACTGTAGCGTTACCTATCTAAACAATTAATTTTGGGCTGGACAAACCAGTGTCGGGGGCATGAGTAACGATCCGGGACGTTCCTGGCACATACTGAGAAAGAACACACATGGGAAACACCCAATCCTCATTGCAGTCGGTAAGCATAAGGTACTGGAAACCAATCATCAGACCCAGATTTCAAACGGGGTAGTACACACATAATAAAACAGCTTTGATTGTATTGTTTGTTTGTTTGTTGTTGCTTAACGCCGCACTCAGCAATATTCCAGCTATATGACGGCGGTCTGTAAATAATCGAGTCTAGAACAGAAATCCAGTAACTGACATCATGAGCATCGATCCACGCAATTGGGATACGATGACATGCATCAACCAAGTCAGAGAGCCTGACCCGTTAGTCGCCTTTTACGACAAGCATAGTCGCCTATTGCGACAAGCATGGGTTGCTGAAGACCTATTCTACCCCGGATCTTCACGGGTAGCTTTGATTGTAACATTAACCACTGTGGCGTGAAACGGATCGTGTATCCCTAGTCAACATCGTTTAATTGAAAAGGGCCCGTGAGACTTGGGCAACATATATGAATAAAACTTTATATCATAAGTAAATCGATCACGTAAATGGAAAAATCACGACAAAAATTTTGTCATCAATATATCACCAATATAGAATTTACTGTTAGTATTGGTCTCGTGCAGATACAGTGAACATTCTCGTATTCGATACAGCTTCTGTGCTTGTTCAACACCGAGACTGTAGAGGGAACAAACGCAAAAGTACAGAGGGAACGTGAAATTATAACGAGGAAACGCGAAAGAATTGTGAGGGAACGTGAAATTATAGAGAGAAAACGTGACAGTATTGTGAGGGAACGTGAAATTATAGAGAGTAAAACGTTACAGTGAGGGAACGTGAAATTAAAGTGAGGGAGCGCTACAATATTGTGAGGGAACGCGATAGTATAGAGTGGGAACGCTACAAATAGTGTATTGTGAGGGAATGTGAAATTATTGCGAGTAAACGCGACAGTATTGTGAGGCAGCGCGAAATTATAGAGAGGAAGGTCGACAGTATTGTGAGGGAACGTGAAATTATAGAGAGGAAACGTGACAGTATTGTGAGGCTGCGCGAAATTATAGAGAGGATAGTCGACAGTATTGTGAGGGAACGTGAAATTATAACGAGGAAACGCGACAGTATTGTGAGGCAGCGCGAAATTATAGAGAGGATAGTCGACAGTATTGTGAGGGAACGTGAAATTATAACGAGGAAACGCGACAGTATTGTGAGGCAGCGCGAAATTATAGAGAGGAAACGTGACAGTATTGTGAGGCAGCGCGAAATTATAGAGAGGAAACGTGACAGTATTGTGAGGGAACGTGAAATTATAGAGAGTAAAACGTTACAGTGAGGGAACGTGAAATTAAAGTGAGGGAGCGCTACAATATTGTGAGGGAACGCGATAGTATAGAGTGGGAACGCTACAAATATGTATTTTTACTATGGCAGATAAGGGTTTCCGTATGTAACAAAAAGTGTGTGTTTAATTAAGGTAACTAGTTATTGGTAGTTAGATGCCGGTCACAAAACTTGAATTAACAGACGAATATCGCATACGGGACTATAACTGCACTTGAATGGATTGTCTGATAGACATTTCTTACAAAGTTGACGGATGACAAAGAAGACACAATTTATGGACAACAACTTCCTATTTGACTGTAATGGCGACGTTTCGGTATAGATCCTCATACCGTTGTCAATCAAGGCTGAATGATGAACATGGTACAGGATATATATGGTAGGTTGAGGATTTAGATCACCAGATCCCTCAATACCCTATTTATGAGGCAACGGCAGAAACACAACCAAACACCAAGAACATAAAGGGGTAGCTAATAAAATTGACTGTAACTGTGGACAACCCTATGTCGGTGAAACATCCCATCAACACCATAATCAAAGAGCACAAAACTTCAACCATAAAATCGGACCATAAATCACCCATCTCGGACCTGCCAATATCACAACATCAAATCCTCTCCAACAACCTCCATGACTTCATGGACAGAAAACAGAAACAGTCCACATTCACACAGAGATCAAGGCTATTTCATCCCGTCCGCCTACTATAAACTCATTAAGCAAAAGTCACCCCACCCATGCATACTTTATCCTGTTTAATTGGCTTCCTTTTAATTGGCTTCCTCGTCATGTGTTCTTTGTCCATCATGTTGTTACAGTGTTATCATTCTGTTGTTATTTTAACTACTCATGTTAACCTCTCGCATGTATGCAATTGTTGTTACTGTTTATCCTCCACCTACCATATATATTCTGTACTATGTTCAATACTCAGCTTTGCTTGACAACGGTATAAGGACTATACCGCCGCCATAACAGTAAATGAAGAAGTTATTGCAATTCGCCATTGATACATGCATCAACCAAGACAGCGAGCCTGGCCACCCGATCCCGTTAGTCGCCTTTTACGACAAGCATTGTCACTTTTAACGGCAAGCATGGGTTGCTGAAGAGCTATTCTACCCCGGATCTTCACGGGTTTAAACACATGCACAAACATGGAAGGTTAAATGTGAATAAATGAGGGGTGTCAGTCACACACACACACACACACACACACACACACACACACACACACACACACACACACACACACACACACACACACACACCGCCAGCAACAACAACCCCATGTTCCAGCAGTGTTACAGACCGTAGTGGCCCATCTGCATATGTAAAGTTTATAGTATACGCGCCGTCAGATGGTTCAGACTAACACCCTATCATTTCTATCATAGCTATGTTCGTGACAACTACCCCGTGCTGGAGGCGACGCACGACACCAGTGTGGGCGGGCGGACCAACTGGGTAGACTGGGCTCGGGACGTCGCTGGAGCATCCTACCTGCCCGACGAGCTGCTGCATGGTCTCATCGAGTGCGGACAGGGCTATACGTTCTTCGCCCTGACGGCGTCGCAAGCCCTCATAGCGGAGCACAATATGTCGCTGCCTCTTATACCAGGAAAATAAAACTGCTTCTCAAACATGGATATATTTTTCACCGGATGTCTTGAGAGCAATGCGTACCGAGCAATGAGCAATGTGGGTAACTAAAAACATCGAATTTTTTATTGGCAGGTGATCGCTGCCCCATGTGTCCGAGTGGACCTCCCAGCTGAGTTTTGATTGAAGTGAAGGTGTGCTAATGGTTAAGTCAATAGAGGTAGGGGATTGGAGAGGGTTTAGGGGGATTCTAGTTGGTTGATTATTGTTTAGACAGATGAGATCATTGGAGTCTATCCAGTCGTTAATTAGTGTGCCAAATATATTGTTAATGTCAAATTTTGTTTCGTCACGATATGGCTGAAATATTGCCGATGTTAAATATTAACTCACTCACTCACTAGTTTGCCAAATTTGTCAGAAAAGTTTTTTGTACCCCACAGTGGGTGGTGAGCGTTGAAATCACCTAAGAAAAGGGTATTTTGGTCGATAAATTTAGATTATATTTCCAGATCCTCTCCTAAAAAGGGTTTTGTTTTGGTATGATATACATTTATAATGGTTATATTAGTTTTGTTTATGTTGGTTTTGATAGCCAGGCATTCAAGATTTGGGGTTGGGATGTTAATAGTTTCGTAATTTAGATGTTCCTTAATAAAGATACCGAGGCCTCCATGAGGGGGTCTGGGGAAATTTAATGTACGTGGTCTGTCCTACCGAATGAAAGTATAGCCTGGTATTTTGAAGGCTTTTTTAGGTGATATTTTTGGTTTCCTGGACTGCGATTAGTGAAGGTTGAATTTTCCCAAGGGCTATGAGTGCCTTAAGCTCATGCCCATTGGTGGTGATTCCATTGCAGTTCCACTGTATGAACACCATTGTCGGGTTTTAGAATGAGAGGGGAGTTTTGTAGGCCTAGATGGGGTGGTGTTCTGGGGCTAGATTTGGAATGCCAAATAGGGATAGGGTTTTATTTAAGTGCTCTGATGGCTGCCTGGAAGTTTTGAAAAGTTTTTAGGTTAGAGAGGAGGGCCAGGGAGTGGATTTTCTTAGGTGTGGGTTTTTAAGGAGAATGGCTGCTGTTAGGAATTCTATGAGTTTGTTTGTGTTTGAATGTAGTTTCTTGGGTGTGACTGTTAGCGAGGGGGCTGTCTTGAGTGTTTGTAGTTTATGGTTGAGCAGCTGTTTCCTTGTTGCGTTGATCCTGTAGTTTATTTGTCTGTTTCTTTGTTGTGGGTGATTTGATGGTATAGGAATGGCTGATCTGGTAGGGCGAGGAGCTTGGAGTTGGGGTGGTGGGGTGGGGGTAGGGGAGGGAGGGGGAGGGTAAAAGGAGGGGTAGGGCCGAGCTGAGGGGTGAGGGTTGTGAAAGGGGTGGTACCGGCTTGGATTTGAAAGGGGGGGGCAGGATGAGGGGGGTGCTGGGGGGGGGGGGCAGGTAACAGTGCCCTTGTATGAGCCGCATTTTTGGCACATGGGCGGCTGTCTGCAAGTGGATGTGAGGGGATCAAATGAGTGGCAGATGTTGCATTGTGGCGGTTTTTTCTAACGGGATTGACTTTATAGGTGAGTGTACCAAAAATGATGTGGGCGGGGAGATTTGTTGTTTTAAATGTTAGAAATACTGTTTGTGTGGTTGTCCTGCCCGGGATGGGTGTGCGGTTGTTAATGTTCTTATAGTTTATGATTTTAGGTTGTGTGGAGATTTTGTTTGCCATGTGGATGTAGTCTTGGATATCTTCTTGTGTGTCCCTGTGATCTATGTGAATAACTCCCTGTATTTGTGTAAACCAATTGGGCACCTGCCATGTTATGTTTAGTCCAGCAATGATTGGTTGTTTGCTGGCGTGTATGAGTGTTTCTTGTGTTGGGAAGGTAAGTTTGTAGCCTCTGCCACATCTCTTTATATATTTGTATGTTATGTTAGCTTTGTGCAGGCAGAGGGCGAACTTGTTTGTGGAGTAGGTGTCATTTAGGGGTGTGGATGTGGTTAAAAAGCTAGTAGGATGTGTTTTGGTGGTGTGGATGTTTGTGGGGGTGTTTTGGGGAGCATGATTTCTTGGTTGTAAGGTGAGATTCCGGGGGTGAGTGGGAAGGGCGCTTTGTTTGTTTTGGGGAGGGTCTTTTTTTGGCAGTTGTGTTATGAGGGGTGGTGTATGATTGTGGTTGTTTCTGAATAATTATGTGTGGTTCAATGCTATGTGGATGCTATGAGGCAGAGGACATATATTTGTACCTGTAAGACCAAAAGTAATAAGAGAACAAAGGTGGAAACTTAACAATGGAAGCCAACAGATAATTGGCGCTGACAGATCTGCAATAGACACTGTCTTTAAGAGGCGTGTGATTTTGTCACGTTTAAAACAATACTGGGCATGTCCGAGTAACTCTCCACGGATGGAGAGTTACGAGGGTTTTCACCGACTTTTAAAACATATCCGTGACGTCATTCTATTGTTTAAATACTCCATTTTTTTCAAGAAAAGACAGTTGGTTGTGTTCTCCGCCGCTATTGGACGTGTGCCTAGCTCCGTCGCGACCTGGGTGCCGGTGTACAAAGCGATCTTAGCGCTAAGGTGATCGTAACTCCCATACCTTAACTTAGACTTACGACAGTCGTAGCGCCAAGGTTGTTGTGTACAACTGCACTCTGATCTTTACAATGCATGGTACACGGCAAATTCGAATGTTTTGTCGAAGTGTAAGAGTAGGGGAGTGTTTTGTTTGAACCATTTTCCGTGAACTTCGAGCCATCAAGACTAAAGAGGTTTTCTTTCTGGGCAGACCCGTGAAGATCTGGGGTAGCATAGGTCTTCAGCAACCCATGCTTGCCTTAAAAGGTGACTATGCTTGTCGTAAAAGGCGACTAACGGGATCGGGTGGTCAGGCTCGCTGACCTGGTTGATGCATGTCATCGATCCAAATTGAGTGGATCGATGCTCATGATGTCAATCACTGGATTGTCTGGTCCAGACTTGATTATTTACAGACCGCCGTCATATAGCTGGAATACTGCTGAGTGCGGCGTTAAACAACAAACCAACCAACCAACCAAATCCTTCTAGGCATGGGTTCGACAACCATGTCATTTATGTGTCTGTTTTTTAACGCCAACAAATAACAGCAACATTCTAGCTGTATGACTGAGGCCTGTAAATAATCAATTCTGAACCAGACAATCCAGTGATTGATATTGTGAGCAACGATCCACATCATCAGGGTACAAGGATACTCCGTCAACCGATCCTGACTAACCGATTCATTGGGTAGCCCCTTACGACAAGCAAAGGGTGCTGAGAACCAATTCTAACCCGGAATCTTGAGTACAGAACGGTGTAAGGCTTCTCGTGCATCTACGTGTTGTGACATTCGGTAATGCCGGATTCGTTAATTCTTTGCGATTCCTTTCCATGACACCATTATGTGTTAAATTGTTCACAGTTGATGAACTTGGAACAGAGCCTGGAGGGAACTGAACTTAAAGAAACTGTACGACGGGAGGTTCTTCAAGTTTGGCGATAGCTATTTCAACTTCTCGAAGAATATCTCTTTTTTTGTGCATTTCAAAGCGTGGGTCGTGGACAAGATGTCCTCATTCTGTACAGGCCGAGTTTCCATAAACATCTGACGACTGTCCGAGTTTTCACTAAGCTTCTGGTGCGAAGGGAGCGGTCCGGTAGCCTCGTGGTTAAAGCGTTCACTCGTCACGCCGAAGATCCGGGTTCAATTCTCGACATGGATACAATGTGTGAAGCCCATTTCTGGTGTCCCCCGCCGTGATATTGCTAAAAGAAGCGTAAAACCATACTCACTCACTCACTCTGCTTCGAAGGTCAGCTGACCACCATCCTCAGTGTAATGGTTCCTGTTACATTCATTGGTCTCTTTAAGTTTGGTCTCCGTGTGTGTGTGTGTGTGTGTGTAATTGCGTTTTGGGGGTACTGTCTGTTCTGAAAAGTTAGGCAGTGCCTCTTTCTGTAACGATAAACACAAAATTTATTAAGATGTGAAACGTTATCTCATTTAGTGAGTTTTTTCTAATGAGTATGTTAATTGACGTAGAACTCGTTAATCCTTTATAAACGATTAATTCATCCAATGCGTTCTACCATTATCATGGTATGTGATTCAAAATAAAAAATTCAGTAAAGTACGTTTATAACGAAGACGCTTATAGCGAATTGTCGGACATAACAAACTGTGCTGGTCCCGGCCATTTGCTGTATAGATATATCATATGACACGACTTGAGTACTATAGCAGTTGTGTCAAAATTCAATCATGTAAGACAATTAATGGGACAATACACGTTTTATTCTGTGACTTTGGTTTTACACGATTTGTAGCAATATTCTAGCAATATCACTCCCGGGGACACCAGAAATAGGCTTCACACATTGTACCCATATCAGGAATCGAACCCGGGTCTTCTGTGTGATGAGCGCTTTAACCACAATTCTACCCGACCCCCACACGTTTTATTCGAATATAGCAGGTGATGAGATGATAGGTGCAGACGACGGACGCGCAAACAAATACCCAATTCCGGAATAGGGACCAATGCTAACACAGAATCCTGAAGGAGTCACTTTTTATGACTACCATGAGGTCCAGGCAACCTACTGCTCTGGAATTAGCATAGGGACATAAGCCTACATTACTGCCGACTTCATTCCAACTCATCATCCGAAGTACGCTTAGTTAACAAGCCTACTGTCCAGCCTATGTCATCACGCATCAACACTGCTTCAGAGAAGAGGGTCTAAGTGACACTTATTGACAATGAAAACACAACATCAAATATGCATGGTACAACTTCAGGTTTAATGTTCCACTGTACATTTGTGTTGACAGTAATTACATGTATAGATCAATGCCTTGCTGGCCAGGTGGGTGCTGTGTTTATATAGTGTGTAAGTGTGATGCATGAGAGTGGTGTTGAAAGGTAGGAATGTAATGGGAAAGTGAAAACAGCTCCCAGGATGCCCAGCAACGCATTAAACTCCTTGTCTGCAAGGATCGGTCATTGCATAATTCTCCATGAAATCCAGGCTATGAAATCTATTGACCAATAACGGAATCACTGAAAATGTGCAACCTCTGGACAATAATTTTTTTAAACCGGCATTCTTCAATACACTATAATACAGTAATAACACTGCAATTACGTGTATTGTGTTTTGTCTTATCCAAGATGGCGGACGTTTCCGAGCAAAAATGTGTATAACGAACAACGGATATAATGAACTGATTTCTCTGGTCCCTTGTAGTTCGTTATATCCGTGTTCTACTGTACTTAGTCAGTACCAACACCAGATTACACAGCCAGGATTTCAAAGGACAGTACATTCATCTCATTCTCACAACAGACAATCTTAAAAATGGTAAAATGTCTAAAAGCAATACTTCTTGTCCATATCTAATAACATTCTTGTGAACACACAATATTACCAAGTGCACACCCACAGTTTCATCCTGTGGCTAGTTTCACCTACAAGTACAGTGCTTGTTGTTTAACACGGCTCTCACTAATATTCCAACAAGCACAGTGAAACCTGGTCATTGCGGAAATCTTGCTTTCTTGACCATCTTGTTAGGAACGCCAATTTACAAAGATATAGGACTCCATGTGATTCGTTAATGCAGAAACCTGTTAATCAGGACTATTTCACTGAGTAAAGTCCTGTCTGATTTAACAAGGTTTCTCTGTATATTGTTTTACTCCATCTGACTGCAGCTGAAGCCGTAGCCCAAAGACTGAACTAGTAAAATGTCTTTCAGTCTTGTAAGCTGAACTTGTAATAGTCCATATATTAACACTAAAATCCACTGAAAAATAAAACCATGAGACAAATTCAGGCCAGTAGACTCCAAAGTTTTGTGCAAGACTGAAATTGTGCACCATATTTTCAGCAGTCCTATAATCAGAGGATACGGCAGACATCAAAGCAATGTGTGATTGCCTTGACGATTGTCCTGGACCACTTGCACAAAGGTACTGTAGGTTTGGCATAAACATTGTAGTGCTAACATTGTAACTGCCTAAATAGCAATTCTACATAAAAACATGAATTCTCTAGGCTAAAAAAATAATAGTCTTGGTTATCAGGCACTACCCAAATCATCATAAAGTCCGCAGCACATTTTGTTTTTATTTCCATTTTTCAAAAATAAAATAAAATAAAATCTTCAAATATTCTGTGTCTCTCTAACACACAACGCTGGCAGTGAAATGCTACAAAACTTAAGAACATGATTTCACCGAAATTATTGCAAACAAAATTTGGTAACATACTACATGTAGCTTGAACTACAAAAAAACAACACACACAACGCCCGCCTGCACTATATTTTCAAAAGCCATTGCCTGAGAACCACGTCTTTTATTTTTTTAAGCCCTACCAAATCATCTTTCTCTTTCACTCATATTCTGTTATTTCTAAAAGCACCATCCTTGAGATATCCACATGACATCATCCACACCCCATTTATACAGCTGTAAAATGCCAATCACCAGTAGAATGAGTTAGTGAGGAAGGATGCTGCCGAGCTGAGCCAGCCTCCCTCCTTCTTCTCATCACGCGCAGTGCGTGCAACGGCCTTGTCATCTATCACAGGACTGTCAGCATCGTCGGCAAGGTAACTGGGCATGTCAGAGTTCTCCTTCTCAGCTTCTTCCATCAGGGATCGGAATGACAGGAAAAGCTGAATTAAGAAGAGCTTCTATTAGACTATATAAACTCTCAAATAAATACATCTCCTCCAGTGGCAGAAATATTGGTACAGGCGGATGGACTTCAAACAATGTCAATTGCTGTAATAATTTTAATGTTTTGGATATTAAAACAGTACTTTGGCCTCCATTTTTAGAAGTTGCCTTCACAAGAGTTACCCTTTTCATTACCAGACACAACACACTGGATTATAATTCACTCAGCTACATGCTTCATACTCCTCCAACCCGGGGTAGAATAGGTCTTCAGCAACTCATGCTTGCCATAAAAGGCAACTGTGCTTGTCGTAAGAGGCAACTAACAGGATCGGATGGTCAGGCCCGCTGACTTGGTAGATGCATGTCATCATATCCCAATCGCGTGGATCGATGATCATGATATCAATCACTGGATTGTCTGGTCCAGACACGATCATTTACAGACCGCCATCATACAGCTGGAATATTGCTGAGTGCGGTGTTAAACAACAAACAAACAAACATACTCATACATCATGTACATGCTTTACTTCTTTTACTTCAGAGTTGCACTTGTCCACAAAACTATCACTTATTAATGTTTCAGCAAGTTCCTCCACAAGCAGTACTATATCCCATGTATTCCTACGTAATGGCCTCCTCACCTCCTCTCCATTGTCGTCTCGGACCACCTGCTGGGCTGCCATCGTCTGCGACCTTGCTACAGCCTGCACCAGGCTCTGAAACATACAAACACACTTGACTTTTCATTCACACCATTGCCAGTCTCGTAAGGCAGTTTCATTTTGGAGGAAAATCCAACACAGTACAGGACAATGACCACTACTGTAGGTCTGCTGGTACAGTGCTCATGTACCCAGGATCATAATCGGGCCAAGTATGGGATTCAAACCAAGTACCATGTTCGACTTAATAAGCGACTGCTCTAATAAGGGCCCATGGCGATATTTACTAATATCATGGCTTGTTATATTGTGGCTTTAGATTGATCAATGTACACAAGACTTATTTATTAGCGTATAATACGCACTCGTGTGTTATATGCATTCTTAATTATGGGCGATTAAATTCTGGAAAAAATATATCTGTCGCATTTCACTCTGTCAGCATAAACCACGAAATTTATCTTTCAACCAAAATAATATTCTAATAAGAGCCCCCTATTTCTAATTTTGAGAGCGCCCTGGGTGCTTATTACGTCGAATACGGTAGTTCCTCACACAAGCTCCTGACAGCAATAGCCCATTTGTGGAGATCTCAATACTATCATGGCCTCCAGACATAGCTCCCCACTGTGCTAGGCAGCCCACAACCATGCATGGAGTTGAACTCACAACCAACTGAATGTTGTGTTTTCAAACAATGACTGTTGTGATTCCGAATACTCTTCCCCCTGCTAAGGTATTTTGTTTGTTTGCCAATTTGAAGTTCTATTTCATGTCAACTTTCATGCAATTAGTTTAGTGAGAATGCAAGGAGACAGTTGGGTGCTTTTCTGTTTGTCTTGAATCTCATTTGGCTGTCTATCAATGTCAGGTTCACAAAACCTAGATCAGACCTAGCAAAAACAAACGCATATAATCCCATAAAAAGACACTGGTCACTGGAGGTGACTGACCTCTGGTTTAACGTCGTTCTTGACCCGCAGTATGCTCCTCCTCTTGTTCATGTCGAAGGTGATGCTGATGACCCCCTTCACCTGAAGCAGCAGCTTCATGCACAGCTCCCGGTCACTCTGGCAACAGTTGGTGAAAGGATAACATAATTGCACCACAATTTATAAGTACAAATCTAAGACAAAAAGAAAGATTCCTGTTTTCTCAGGCACCGACTCATCAGAATAAGACAAACAAAAACTTCTGACACACAGAACAGACAACAAAGCCCACTGTTTCCAGGTACTTCACTTGTCCAGGCTTCTATTTGCAACCACATTCATGTCTGTGCAAAACTCTTAGGTCTACCTCCCTATATCACTGACTGTTTTTTCAGCATTATTTTCATATCTCAGTAGAGTTGGTATTAATATCAGAAATTATACTGGTAAGAAATAAAGTTTGTTGTTTAATGCGTCACTCAGCAATATTCAAACTATATGATGGCAGCCTGTATAGAATCAAGTCTGGACCAGAAAATCCAATGATGGATATTGTGAACAATGACCAAGGCTGTCAGGGTATGAGGACATGCTATCAACCAAATCCCAGTCTGACCACCCAATCTATTTAGTCAACTCTTTAGACAACCATAGGTTGCTTGGGACCTATTCTAACCTAGACCCCTGGAAGAAAAAAAGAGAAATATTTGTGTATAAGGAGTGAGTGAGTGAGTGAGTGAGTGAGTGAGTGAGTGAGTGAGTGAGTGAGTGAGTGAGTGAGTGAGTGAGTGAGTGAGTGAGTGAGTGAGTGAGTGAGTGAGTGAGTGAGTGAGTGAGTGAGTGAGTGAGTGAGTGAGTGAGTGAGTGAGTGAGTGAGTGAGTGAGTGAGTGAGTGAGTGAGTGAGTGAGTGAGTGAGTGAGTGAGTGAGTGAGTGAGTGAGTGAGTGAGTGAGTGAGTGAGTGAGTGAGTGAGTGAGTGAGTGAGTGAGTGAGTGAGTGAGTGAGTGAGTGAGTGAGTGAGTGAGTGAGTGAGTGAGTGAGTGAGTGAGTGAGTGAGTGAGTGAGTGAGTGAGTGAGTGAGTGAGTGAGTGAGTGAGTGAGTGAGTGAGTGAGTGAGTGAGTGAGTGAGTGAGTGAGTGAGTGAGTGAGTGAGTGAGTGAGTGAGTGAGTGAGTGAGTGAGTGAGTGAGTGAGTGAGTGAGTGAGTGAGTGAGTGAGTGAGTGAGTGAGTGAGTGAGTGAGTGAATGAATGAATATGGTGTTACGCCGCTTTTAGCAACATTCCAGCAATATCATGGCGAGGGACACCTGAAATGGGCTTCACAAATTGTACCAATGTGGGGAATCGAACCCGGATCTTTGGCATGACAAGTTACCGCTTTAACCAGTAGGCTACCCGACCGCCCCGGGCACAAGGAGAGTAGTTCACCATCATGCATGGATTGACACTGACACAAGCCTCAGTAATTCGTCTGGTGTTAAAGGAATCCTGAAGGCTCATTGAAAATGTAGAATTTTAGGCTGTTTAGGGGTCGTCCTTATACATTACCATTATTCAAGCTAGTAAACATGGTAAAAGTTTCACATTCATGATAATGTTTCTTTTATGTTTCCTACAAAATTGCCTGCCATCCAACCTTTCATTTTATATCCAGTTAATGGAAGCCTGTTTACTGACGTAGGCTCCTTGCCTGAGCACCACACAGTACAGATGGGTACAATGCTGCATACTGACCCTGTCTGTGATGCCCCTGAGCTGCAGGATGACCGACTTGTGTTTGTGGCTATGGTAACTCAGACTCTTGTTGCTCTTCTTGCTGCAGCTGCTGTTCCTTCTACAAGTACAGTAATCAATATGTCTGTACGTCATCACAAGTAGCAGCAACGTCTAGGGGCTTTCAAAATAGTTTTTACCTCTGGACAAGATAATTGTTACAAACATTTCATTTGAACAGTCAAGGATGGATTTAAACCCCCCAAAGAGGAAGTGAGGTTTGAATTTGCTTTAAGCAATATACAAACAATATCTTGGCAGGGGACATGGGATTCACACATTGACCCAAGTGGGGAATCAAACCCCCGGGTCTTCAGTGTAACAAGCGAATGCTTTAACCACTAACCCTCCTCCAAGAAACAGCCATGTGTGCTCACTTACAAGTCGGATGATTTGTCACCAGTAAGTTATTGTTATTTGTCCATGCAGAGGTAAGATTTGTTTGTACTTTGTAATTTGTATGTAGTTTTGACACTATTAGTTTGTATAGAATATTTCAAACAAATCACTAGTTTCATTCCAAAAAAGTGAAAAGTATAGTGATGAAGGTAATCCATCAGGACTGAAAGGTTCAAAGTGAACTAGTGCCATAAATCTACAGGTGCCCCTCCTCTGCCCACCTTGTTGAGTGAATGTTGCTGGTGTCTCGGAGTGGAGTCTGTTGATCCACCTCTGTAAGGATGAGGTACAGCTTCTCTGTCAGGGCCCGTAACTCTGGCTCTCCATCACTCCTGTACACACACAGAGAACCTCACCCTCTTGTCTTTTGATGTCAAATTATGTCAGCACAAGTCAATAACAGTTGAAAAATCTAGGGCTTGTGTGTGTGCTTCCACTTACACATTTTGAAACAACTTGTAAGGATGTCATCTGAGAGGCACCTGTGTATTAATCACTGTATCTCACCCAAGCTTTTTGTTTTGTTTGTTTGTTGTTTAACGCCGCACTCAGCAATATTCCAGCTATATGACGACGGTCTGTAAATAATCTAGTTTGGACCAGACAATCCAGTGATTTACATCAGGAACATTGACCCACACAATTGGAATACGATGACATGCATCAACCAAGTCAGCGAGTCTGACCACCCGATCCCGTTAGTTGCCTCTTACGACAAGCATTGTCACCTCTCATCTAAGCATTATCTCCTGCTGAAGCCAGTTTTGGATGATAAAATACACAACACAAACAACAACATTCATTACTACTTTCATATATCTACATATGCTGCCAATAAGTTGAATTTCCACCACCTATAATTGGTTCTAATCAGTTTGTTTCAATTGTTCATTCAGAGAATAGGTTACAACGATTTTCTGGAATTTTCAAAAGTCAAAATCATACTTCTTATATAACATGTATGAAACTGTCTTATTGGTTGCATATGAATGATGAATGGTGTGTGACTAAATACAATGTATAGATTCATTAATGTAAAACATTTAATATTGCATGTTCTAGACACTTTGATAATACATTGTAGCATCAGTTTGGGTTACTATTCAATCACTAATTACAATTAATCAATTGATATTTTCAAAATGACCTGTTCATGAGTGCCTCTAGCTGGTCCAGCATCCCCATGAAGTTTTTCAGCGGTGCCACATTCTCCCCACTCTCCACCAGCAGCAGCAGCGTCTACAACAACAACTCCATTGATGATCAACATGCCTAAAACATTCTCATCTATTTAAAGAAATCTGTAAAAAACCTGGAACAGAGATCAACAGAGTTGGTTCACCAAAGAATCTATACAAAATGATACTGCTATGTAATTACATAGATGATGATGATAATAACAGTGTATAATATGTCATACAAGTTAAATAATAAACATAGTAGATTTTGACAAAGTGTTTCTTTGAAGCCTTAGAAAACTGGTGATTCTTACCTAAAGAGCACTTAACTTGGTGAAACCTGACTCCCTAAGAAACAATATTGTGAGATGTGTGACTGCGCATCTATATTGATTTAAATGTGTTTTGTTTGAAAATCAAATGAGTCCATATTGTGTGAAAAGCATTTCTACATAAAGATATTTGAACACATGCATGTGCATGGTTCTTATACATACCTCAAGTGCTAATGTTACAACTTTTGTGTCTGAATTTGAGAGTACGACAACAAGTCCTCCAACACAGGTGGCATCCTATAACACAGACAAAGCCATATATGCAACTGAAACTCATTCATCAAACCAGATGATATGTAGTTAAATAAGTATCAAAGTAGTACTGTCAAGTTGTTACAATTCATTAAATGGTTCAATTAATTTAATTTAATAAATGTAATAGAAAGAATGAAATTGTTTAACAGTCATTACACTAGGTATTCACATGAACTAAGGGTGGCTATGATTTGGTGCTCATGCATTTCTAATGTAACAAGTGCATCATGAGAAATTGAGCCAATTGTTTCTGTGTAATCAGCATTATAAGAGAAATCATGCAGCTGTTTATTTCCACTTCAAACAAATTTAATCCAGAACTTAATGTCATAAAACGGTTAGTAGAAATAGAACTTAAGTCACAAATTTTGTGAAATGTAATACTAGGCTTTTTCAGCAGAAACTTCATAACTCTACTATGATGATAATCTGTTCAGACTCAAAATATGGGGCTAAAGCTAGAGTCAAGCAAACCTTTGCAAGTGCTGCTCTTTTCTTTGGATCTGTGGCCAGTGTCTTCATGGCACTAATAGCATCAGTTGTAACCATTTTGATGAAAGTTATCTGATATAGTACCTTGCTGCAAAACATAATTAATAAAATTGCAATAAACATGCCTCTGCGTGCAGATATATAGGCCTATATCTGCAGTCATAAATTCACCTCGTCTCCACAATTAGACGTACTTCATGACGTAAAGTATATAAATCATATTGACATTTCGATTATAATTGACGCATTGACAAGAAGTTACAATTGAACCAGATTGACCTAGGCTTCTGACTGTCTGATCAGGCTTTAGTTAGCCTGTCCGGTATAGACAACGGTATATCGAATAGCAATGTTGAGAAATGTTGGGGACGAATGTTGACCGATGACCTTCTTTTCTCAAATACCAAACAAATGTATGTATATATATATATATATATATATATATATATTGATCATGAGCGCATATATAATGACAACGTATTAATTTCAAATATATACAATAATACATCTTACCACAAAATAATTTCAAAAGGCTCTTGTAAAGAAGGTAAACATGTACAGGCGAAGGTTGAATTTGCCTCTTCAGTACACTGCTGTTTGATTGGCTCGTTTACATTCAGAAAAGCGTGCTGATTGGATAAGTTGTTTGTGACTATTTTCGTCAAAGTTTAGAAATCAATCTCGGACACAGATAATTTATCTAATATTTCTCCGTGAAATTCACATGCAAAGAAAACATACATGTCACACATAAAGGTAGATGCAATTAATACAAGTTCTTTATAACTACAATATTAGGATATATCACGGGCAAAATAATTAGCAAATAAGCGTTGAAATTAATGTTTCGTTTCATTCTCCAATACAAAATGTGAATTAGCTCCGCCGGAAGTGATAAACGATTGGATGGTCGTCGCTATTTTACATACTTTTCGAGACCGTGTGTATGCGTTAGTTTTATCGACTATCGCACTTTTCAAGGGAGACAACTCATCGCAACTGTCCAATTCGCGTCTAATGTTACAACCCAATTAAAGTCAGAAAGTTCGCGTGTATTACGACTGCTTATGACACTTTGATACAAGGACATGTCATCAGTTTTCCGATATTAATCAGCGCATATATCGTCAGTTGAGTGATCATGTCGTTTATATGTTTATGTTAGGCGTGGCGGGCGTCATATATTGTATTCAGACGGTAGTCATGCGATAAGTTTGTCTGACATTTGTAGACAGAACCCAGCTACCCTAATGTTATCGACATTACCGCCCATGTTCTTTGAACACTTGTATTCCCATATCTGCATATTTTGTTTTCCCACATTGCGAGGCATATGTAATTTTGTTTCATTAAAATAGGCTTCATTGTTTTTTTACAAATCAAATGGTTGCTCGTTCAGCAAAGAATGGTTGATTTTACCTTGATATGCTTCACAGTTCTGATTTTTCCCCATTTACGTCAAGTTTACAAAGTTGTGGTTGAGAAAGTTTTAATCAGACATCACATAGATCTAGCATCTTGTACTGACAGTTAATATAATATGAGCAATTATAATGTATCTTCATACACAGTAAACATCGCCATGGCCTAATGTAATGTTAAAACCCCATAATGTTAGACAATAAGTAGGTTTATAAGTACAAAATATTTAGATCTAGCTTCTATTTGATTGTAACAAATGTTATATTTGGGATAACACTTTCTTAGTAAAGTACAGATTCTTGTACTTTTTGGGGTTGAGTTCTTGATTGATATTTTGAATATTACTTCAGATTTATATCTTAATGTTCCACATAAAAATTATATGGAGACTTTTATCCTAGGTTAGGTATTATTAAACAGTGGTTATAGGCCTATCTATTTTGTTTCATTTTGAAAGTTTCTTCAAGTTACTTATTATCATGATTATGGGACACTTCAAAGAAAGACTGCATTAAGACATGTGTGTAAACAGAAAATAGGTTACTAGTTTACAATATCCAGCTTAGGCAAACTCACTATATACTGAGTTGAGCTTATAACACAGACAACATCAACTTTGCTTTATTTCTTTACATATAGTATCAAGCACCACCTTTGCAGGCCTTGGATGTCTTGTGTATAGTATAGTACTGCCATGACGTTTGTTTCTGGAATATAAATGGTACAATACATACAGACTTAGCTTTAACTTATTTAATCTAATTACCAATTGTGTGTTTTATAAATGGATTACAGCAGTACAGTGAAGCTTTGTTATTGGGTGTACCATTCCCATGGAAACTATCCAGGTGTCCAGTTATTGTAATTATGGTCTTTTCTATGTGTGTAGGTTGGTAGTGCGATGGGTGGTTGGCATTTGGCATAAGGGGAGTAAAACGGGCACTTGTTGTCTTGGAGTCCATATGATGTGTCTGAATGGGGTATCCATCATGTTACACTGCAGCATGGTAACTCGGTGGGCACGCACTGTACTCTTTACACTATGTAATGTCTGAACTGGTACAAGCAGCCACATACATGTTGCTATATAAGTACAATAATCTTGAATCCGACCTTTAACCCTGTTTCACCTCACCTCCGCTGCCTCAGGTCACAAATATTATATGTCTTTATCTGTTGTAAATGAGGCAGGCTCTGTCGTTGGTCAAATTGGATGGGAATTGAAAGATTTGTAATATCTTTCAGAGAAGTACTTCCTGTAAATTCACCAACTACAAGACTGCCACCTGACTCATAATTGTTAAATAAGAGTTTTTCAAACTTCTTTGAAATTGAAGTACTGCCAAAAGTGGCAGTTAATCCATAATAAAACAACAGGCTTGTATATGACAGTTAAAAATTAACAGTCAAATATGACCAATTCTATTTATATTTCTGAGCAGATCTTATTGCATTCTTCATTCTTCACAGAGTATATGACTCTTTAGATGTACATAACATTTGTATGGCAGCATATTATGTTTTCAATGTAATTTCATAATTACATAAATTGAACATTGTCATTCTGTTAACTGTTTGAATGCCTATCAAATGTGCCCCCAAAGGCAATGAATACGACCATTGCATAACTCTGCTGTTATACTTAAACTCCTTTCAATATTTTATTGAGGTCTCATCATTGTTATAATAAAGTCTATGCACTACCTAGCTTTGTGAACATCTACCATCTGCTTCACTTTGTGCCTCATCATGAAATAGGGTAATGCTCATGTTATAACCTTAAGTTGCTGTTCACATCTTTATTAATCTCAGCTATGGCAAAAAAGGTCTTTATGTCAATCACTGTCAAATAGTCAATAGAAGGGAAAGTGATAGACTGCCACACAGAGTTTTAGAATATAGCAAAAGAAGAAAAAAAGAAGAATATCATTCACACTGTCATTAATATAAGCAAGCAGCTGGATAACCATGACTTGATATTTATGCCAGGCTCAACTCAGTATGTGGCGTCTCTTATAAATGAAAAACTCAAGACAGTAGATGGATATACATGTACTTGGTTTGAACAACTCTGGAATGATACATCAAATCCTCAGCATGGAAATATGCTACTCAGCTACCATATGTTTAAAAAAAAGATCTTGTCCCCGAACTTAACTTGCAAACTTTTATGTCCATGAATCTCAGAAAATATCTCCCCAGACTATGTTTGGAAGTCTCACCCTACACGTTGAGATAGGTCTGCACAATGCACCCCCATCCCTTAGAGCTCAGAACTTGTTATTTGTGTAAGAAAGAGGAAAATGAAGTTCATTTCCTTAATTGACCCATGAAGATGTAGAACAGGTCTTCAGCAACCCATGCTTGCCGTAAAGGCGACTATGCTTGTCATAACAGGCGACTAACGGTATCGGGTTGTCAGGCTAGCTGACTTGGTTAATGCATGTCCTCGATCCCAATTGCATGGATCGATGTTCATGATGTCAATCACTGGATTGTCTGGTCCAGACATGATTATTTACAGACTGCCGTCATATAGCTGGAATATTGCAGAGTGCAGTGTTAAACAACCAACCAACAAACAAACAAAACAGAGGGTAATTTTTATAACGACCTAAGATACAGCATTAATTTATCTTGTTACTGTTCTAAAGTGCGTAACCCACATTTATTTTTTTTACTGTTTTCTGAAAATAATCCTAAGCGCATGAAATTATTTCAAATGCATTGCTTCTATAATAACAAACATGTTTTTAAGACGACAATTATTGATACTTGCATTGTTTATTGTCTTACATAAATTTATGACGATTATATCATTGTAAATAGTATTTTACCCTGCAAAATGTCATCAATATGTAGTGTCTCATCAGCCAAAATATGGTTCGATGTTAAACATGTTTAACTATATCTGTATGTCTGTCTGTCTGTCCTATTGTTTGGCCATATGAATCATAGGATTTTAAAATAAACTGCTTGGGGTTATGGAAAGATAATATTTCCATTTTCTTCTTTCTTCTTCGTAATATCTATATTCTAAATATCATGAATATACATTACGTAAACTCACAGATACAGTTCCACAATTTAAAAGAGCAAATGTCCTCACAAACTTACTTCATTTTCAACAGTTGTCTTTTAGCATACTGTAAATATTGAAATTAATGCATCTCCAAATCCCCCCCCCCCCCCCCATCCCCAGTGAAATGAAACATATCCTTACCTTATTCCAACCTTACCAAATACTAGTAACTGCTTATTAGCACTGAGGAGAGCACTTCCATAAAAACAACAGTGTTTTCCTAAAAACAACACACAGTTTTTATGTATATTCCTGTTGACTGGCATTAAGGAAGTTCAAAGGCAATAATATAATTGAACCAACAACTGTTCACTGATTGGACTGCAGAGAAGGTGTCAACAAACTTGAGGCATGTGACAAAGGCTGAGGAGTGAGGTGAAGCCTATCGGTGCGCGTTAGGTCGTGCAGTCCCTAGACGGAGTGTCTGTCTGGGTGTCTGGGTGGCGTCTGTCTTTGACTGGCTTTTTTGCTGTTTTGCTGTGGTAATTAATAAGTTTATCATAAATATGCCATACACTTGTGTTGACACTTTGGTTATTAATATTCAATGTTTCTCTCTTATTATTATTTTCGATGATTTAGGAATATTTTGCATAATTTGATTATATTCTAATATTATTCAATTATATACAAATGTTAGTGCTAAACAGACTAACTGCTTATTCTATTATTGTTCAAGTTTATACTCTTTATTATTAAGCTTTATTCCATTAATTCGATCATTAATTCGAGAACATACCAAGAAGAAGAGATAAGGTGACACTGGATCACCTACACAACCTCTATTATTTGGCAAAAGAAACATATATTTGAGTATATTAGCCCTTATGCCGTATTTTTCCCAAAAAAACTATAGTGAATGGTTTGGAGACAGTATGAAAAGTCTTTTCAAAATCAGTGAAAAATAATAAGCCTGGCCTGTCTGTTTGATTTCATATATATATAATATAACATATTAGTCTCTCATGTTCACTTATACAGGAATGCATGCAGTTTGATTGGAATGAATTGTTATGCCAAATGTTGTTTTTTCAATTGTGTTGATTTCATATGTCCTAAGCAATTATTTAAAGTTAGGTATTGAAATTGGCAGTCAAATTTTTTGATGTCTTCAATCTTTATTTTGTTTTGGTATACAAGTTATTATAACATTGTCTTTAGTTATTTTAATGTCTTTCAATGTTTCAGTAATACACTGTTTATCTGTATACCCATATACCCACATCTGTTTATAAATATTTAAAAAAATCAACAGAAAATGGGTATTTAGGAAAGTTCATGCATTTCAATGGTTATTTTTCAAACTGTCAGCAACTGAATTACTCAGTCTTGTTGTCAGGTGGTGGGGTTGCTTGAAAACTTGGGTTTGATTCCCCACATGGGTACCATGTGTGAAACTCATTTAGTGTGTCCCCTGCTGTTATATTGCTAGAATATTGCTAAAAGTGGAGTAAAACTCACTCACTTACCCAGTATTGGTGTCTTGATTTTGGCTTATATTTTGCTAGTTTCACCGTAAGGTTCATCATTGGATGAGTATAGTTGCTCATTAATTCCCTTGTTTCCCCATCAGTGTTTCCCCATCAGTGTTTCCCCATCAGTGTTTCTCCATCAGTGTTTCCCCATCAGTGTTTCCCCATCAGTGTTTCTCCATCAGTGTTTCCCCATCAGTGTTTCCCCATCAGTGTTTCCCCATCAGTGTTTCCCCATCAGTGTTTCTCCATCAGTGTTTCCCCATCAGTGTTTCTCCATCAGTGTTTCCCCATCAGTGTTTCCCCATCAGTGTTTCTCCATCAGTGTTTCCCCATCAGTGTTTCTCCATCAGTGTTTCCCCATCAGTGTTTCCCCATCAGTGTTTCCCCATCAGTGTTTCTCCATCAGTGTTTCCCCATCAGTGTTTCCCCATCAGTGTTTCTCCATCAGGGTTCCCATCAGTGTTTCCCCATCAGTTTCCCCATCAGTGTTTCTCCATCAGTGTTTCCCCATCAGTGTTTCCCCATCAGTGTTTCCCCATCAGTGTTTCTCCATCAGTGTTTCCCCATCAGTGTTTCCCCATCAGTGTTTCTCCATCAGTGTTTCCCCATCAGTGTTTCCCCATCAGTGTTTCCCCATCAGTGATTCCCCATCAGTGTTTCCCCATCAGTGTTTCCCCATCAGTGTTTCCCCATCAGTGTTTCTCCATCAGTGTTTCCCCATCAGTGTTTCCCCATCAGTGTTTCTCCATCAGTGTTTCCCCATCAGTGTTTCCCCATCAGTGTTTACCCATCAGTGTTTCCCCATCAGTGTTTCCCCATCAGTGTTTCCCCATCAGTGTTTACCTATCAGTGATTCCCCATCAGTGTTTACCCATCAGTGTTTCCCCATCAGTGTTTCCCCATCAGTGTTTCTCCATCAGTGTTTCCCCATCAGTGTTTCCCCATCAGTGTTTCTCCATCAGTGTTTCCCCATCAGTTTCCCCATCAGTGTTTCTCCATCAGTGTTTCCCCATCAGTGTTTCTCCATCAGTGTTTCCCCATCAGTGTTTCCCCATCAGTGTTTCTCCATCAGTGTTTCCCCATCAGTGTTTCCCCATCAGTGTTTCCCCATCAGTGTTTCCCCATCAGTGTTTCTCCATCAGTGTTTCCCCATCAGTGTTTCCCCATCAGTGTTTCTCCATCAGTGTTTCTCCATCAGTGTTTCCCCATCAGTGTTTCCCCATCAGTGTTTCCCCATCAGTGTTTACCTATCAGTGATTCCCCATCAGTGTTTACCCATCAGTGTTTCCCCATCAGTGTTTCCCCATCAGTGTTTCTCCATCAGTGTTTCCCCATCAGTGTTTCCCCATCAGTGTTTCTCCATCAGTGTTTCCCCATCAGTGTTTCTCCATCAGTGTTTCCCCATCAGTGTTTCCCCATCAGTGTTTCTCCATCAGTGTTTCCCCATCAGTGTTTCCCCATCAGTGTTTCTCCATCAGGGTTCCCATCAGTGTTTCCCCATCAGTTTCCCCATCAGTTTCCCCATCAGTGTTTCCCCATCAGTGTTTCTCCATCAGTGTTTCCCCATCAGTGTTTCTCCATCAGTGTTTCCCCATCAGTGTTTCCCCATCAGTGTTTCCCCATCAGTGTTTACCCATCAGTGTTTACCCATCAGTGTTTCCCCATCAGTGTTTCCCCATCAGTGTTTACCCATCAGCTATTATTTTGCCCGTACACAAACTGTTGACTTCCTTTTACATTAGTTCAATGCTGACAATTCAAAAAAATTACAGATGATCATTTATGGCGTTAATATCGCTTTTTACTGTTTTGTTTTGCTCTTGAAAATGCTTTGTTATATAAACTGTAAATTTCTCATTTAACTCGTCAATCGAGAATGTTCGTTTCACAAAGTGCATTTTTTGTTACTTGCCCAGCATGTATTCCTCGTGAGTGACCTCAAATATTTTTATTATTTGTTTTTATTTTGTAAACTCAGAACTACTTTTTTACATTTGCAATGAAATCAGTCAATTTCCCGACATCCAAGTCTCGTGAAATATCATCATGAACATGTTTCTTTCATCTCGTATTCACACCTTTTCCCATTCACTCGATGAGAAAAACACGATATTTCACGAGGCACATCCTCTATTTATTCATCCTCCTTCCCTCCTTTCCCCCAATCTCACCAGTGTGTACAGTTGCCGACGTACATGCCAAAAAACTATGATTGTTGGGTTGGGATCCTGGTGTTCTCTCTGATTATGTTCCTTAGTTTGTCAGCATCATTCTTGTGTTCATGGGTTTCATGCCGTGATATAACTGGAATACTGTTCAAAGTGGCATTAAACCCAACTCATTTCACTTTATCTCGCTCATTTGGTACTTGGTGATAATGTGGCTGTTAAATGTGTTTTGTAATATAGTGAAACATTGCTCTCAGTCACTCCATCTTATTAAAATGAACTGTTGCATGAAGCAATAGAATTAAAATTTACTTTCAATGTTATAAGTAATAACTATACTGATAGAAAGACGCAAGGGAATTCCTGATATATGAAATATGGTATGGTTATGCTTTAACTGTTTTGGAAATGTTGCATATGCATATTTATATTTCTTTTTCTTAAACACAGAAGTAAACATTTCTCTGAATATTGTTATGAATTCCCTTTACAATATTTCTGTTAGTATATTATTGTAAGGGAACTGAATCACCCTGTGTTAGCCTATCCCATTCACCTGTAATGGTGTCAACATTTCACAGATGAATGGGATAGTTTCCAGGCCAGGCCGCGTGGAGGCCCAGGGTATCTGGCCCCAAAAAAAACAGTTTAAAAAAAAACAATACCTTAGTCAAGTCTTACTGTTTCTTCTATAGATCATTAATGTGCCATATTGATTACAACAGCAACATATACCCCAAAAGTATTAGTGTGAAATTTTCTTCACTGTCATGTTATCCTGACTTTCTGGCATCTGTTGTGGGTAGAAGGCTTCTGTGAGGGTATTGGTTGTCATGTTATCCTGACTTAGTTGAGGGCTGCTGTGAGGGTCTTGGTTGTCATGTTATCCTGACTTTCTGGCATCTGTTCTAGGTTTAGGGCTGCTGTGAGGGTCTCGGTTGTCATGTTATCCTGACTTTCTGGCATCTGTTGTGGGTAGAGGGCTTCTGTGAGGGTCTTGGTTGTCATGTTATCCTGACTGGGTTGAGGGCTTCTGTGAGGGTCTTGGTTGTCATGTTATCCTGACTTTCTGGCATCTGTTGTGGGTAGAGGGCTTCTGTGAGGGTCTTGGTTGTCATGTTATCCTGACTTTCTGGCATCTGTTGTGGGTAGAGGGCTTCTGTGAGGGTCTTGATTGTCATGTTATCCTGACTGGGTTTAGGGCTGCTGTGAGGGTCTCGGTTGTCATGTTATCCTGACTGGGTAGAGGGCTTCTGTGAGGGTTTTGATTGTCATGTTATCCTGACTTGTGGCATCTGTTCTAGGTTTAGGGCTTCTGTGAGGGTTTTGATTGTCATGTTATCCTGACTTGTGGCATCTGTTCTAGGTTTAGGGCTGCTGTGAGGGTTTTGATTGTCATGTTATCCTGACTTGTGGCATCTGTTCTAGGTTTAGGGCTTCTGTGAGGGTTTTGATTGTCATGTTATCCTGACTTGTGGCATCTGTTCTAGGTTTAGGGCTGCTGTGAGGGTCTTGGTTGTCATGTTATCCTGACTTGTGGCATCTGTTCTAGGTTAGGGCTTCTGTGAGGGTCTTGATTGTCATGTTATCCTGACTTGTGGCATCTGTTCTAGGTTTAGGGCTGCTGTGAGGGTCTCGGTTGTCATGTTATCCTGACTGGTTTGAGGGCTTCTGTGAGGGTCTTGATTGTCATGTTATCCTGACTGGGTTTAGGGCTTCTGTGAGGGTTTTGATTGTCATGTTATCCTGACTTGTGGCATCTGTTCTAGGTTTAGGGCTTCTGTGAGGGTTTTGATTGTCATGTTATCCTGACTTGTGGCATCTGTTCTAGGTTTAGGGCTGCTGTGAGGGTCTTGATTGTCATGTTATCCTGACTTTCTGGCATCTGTTCTAGATTTAGGGCTTCTGTGAGGGTCTTGGTTGTCATGTTATCCTGACTTAGTTGAGGGCTTCTGTGAGGGTCTTGGTTGTCATGTTATCCTGACTGGGTTAAGGGCTTCTGTGAGGGTCTTGGTTGTCATGTTATCCTGACTTTCTGGCATCTGTTCTAGATTTAGGGCTTCTGTGAGGGTCTTGGTTGTCATGTTATCCTGACTTAGTTGAGGGCTTCTGTGAGGGTCTTGGTTGTCATGTTATCCTGACTGGGTTGAGGGCTTCTGTAAGGGTCTTGATTGTCATGTTATCCTGACTGGGTTGAGGGGTGCTGTGAGGGTCTTGGTTGTCATGTTATCCTGACTGGGTTGAGGGCTGCTGTGAAGGTCTTGGTTGTCATGTTATCCTGACTTTCTGGCATCTGTTCTGGGCTGAGGGCTGCTGTGAGGGTCTTGGTTGTCATATTATCCTGACTTTCTGGCATCTGTTCAGGGTTGAGGGCTGCTGTGAGGGTCTTGGTTGTCATGTTAACCTGACTTTCTGGCATCTGTTCTGGGCTGAGGGCTGCTGTGAGGGTCTTGGTTGTCATATTATCCTGACTTTCTGGCATCTGTTCAGGGTTGAGGGCTGCTGTGAGGGTTTTGGTTGTCATGTTAACCTGACTGGGCCGAGGGCTGCTGTGAGGGTATTGATTGTCATGTTATCCTGACTTAGTTGAGAGCTTCTGTGAGGGTCTTGGTTGTCATGTTATCCTGACTTTCTGGCATCTGTTCTAGGTTTAGGGCTGCTGTGAGGGTCTTGGTTGTCATGTCATCCTGACTCTCTGGCATCTGTTCTAGGTTTAGGGCTTCTGTGAGGGTCTTGGATGTCATGTTATCCTGAATTTCTGGCATCTGTTCTGGGTTGAGGGCTTGTGAGGGTCTTGGATGTCATGTTATCCTGACTTTTTGGCATCTGTTCTGGGTTGAGGGCTTCTGTGAGGGTCTTGGTTGTCATGTTATCCTGACTGGGTTGAGGGCTTCTGTGAGGGTCTTGATTGTCATGTTATCCTGACTGGGTTGAGGGCTTCTGTGAGGGTCTTGGTTGTCATGTTATCCTGACTTTGTGGCAGCTGTTCTAGGTTTAGGGCTGCTGTGAGGGTCTCGGTTGTCATGTTATACTGACTGGGTTGAGGGCTTCTGTGAGGGTCTTGATTGTCATGTTATCCTGACTTTCTGGCATCTGTACTGGGTTGAAGGCTTCTGTGAGGGTTTTGGTGTCATGTTATCCTGACTGGGTTGAGGGCTGCTGTGAGGGTCTTGGTTGTCATGTTATCCTGACTTTCTGGCATTTGTTCTAGGTTTAGGGCTTCTCTGAGGATCTTGGTTGTCATGTTATCCTGACTGGGTTGAGGGCTGCTGTGAGGGTCTTGATTGTCATGGTATCCTGACTTTCTGGCATCTGTTCTAGATTTAGGGCTTCTGTGAGGGTCTTGGTTGTCATGTTATCCTGACTGGGGTTAGGGCTGATTTGAGGGTCTTGATTGTCATGTTATCCTGACTTTCTGGCATCTGTTCTGGGTAGAGGGCTTCTGTGAGGTTCTCGGTTGTCATGTTATCCTGACTGGGTTGAGGGCTTCTGTTAGGGTCTTGATTGTCATGTTATCCTGACTTTCTGGCATCTGTTCTAGGTTTAGGGCTGCTGTGAGGGTCTTGGTTGTCATGTTATCCTGACTTTCTGGCATCTGTTCTGAGTTGAGGGCTGCTGTGAGGGTCTTGGTTGTCATGTTATCCTGACTTTCTGGCATCTGTTCTGGGTTGAGGGCTGCTGTGAGTGTTTTAGTTGTCATGTTATCCTGACTGGGTTGAGGGCTGCTGTGAGGGTCTTGGTTGTCATGTTATCCTGACTTAGTTGAGGGCTGCTGTGAAGGTCTTGGTTGTCATGTTATCCTGACTTTCTGGCATCTGTTCTAGGTTGAGTGTTGTGGAGAGTTATGGTTCATTTCAGCTTCTTTTCTTGACTTTGTTAAATATGTTTGTTTAGAAATATGGTACTTTTGAATTTATAACTTGCATAATGTCTATGCCATTTTGTTCCAAATGTTGTATATGGTCATCTGTTAATATTAGGGTTGGATCAATTACTAGCCTACTAAGTGTGAAATGTTGATTATTTGTCAGAATGCACTGAGCCCTGCAGTGGTAATGACAATTTGTCCAAAATGCCTGTTGCTTATTTGCCCTATGGCTGAAAAAGTGTCTTAATTCCAGATGCCTCACTACCATGTCAAATGGTGCCCTCGGTGTATGAATGAATTTAGTTTTGCATCCTTGGCATTTCTTTATGCGACCATTTAAAGCGATCAACTGGAAGTTGTTCTCTGTGTGCCCACCAAACCTAGTTTGATATCTGTGAGGATTATTCATTGATGATTTGTTTGGTTGTGTGCCTTTTCTCAGAACTACACTTGAAGTTGGTGATCTATTGCCCACATAGTCTTCATCTACCTGGCACACTTTGCACACAAAGGTTTCCTTTTGCAGTGTTCTAAATGATGCATTGCTGCCAGAGCATTCAAGGTGATACCAATACCTGCAGCTCTCACACTGCACCTGCAACATGTGCAATACAAAATTGTTATTTCTATTGTTTGTTATTTCATTTTAGTTGGGTTTTTTCCTCACAGTCAAACATATCATTATTCATGCTTATATTTCGTTGTGCTACTTTATAAGCTTGCTAAAACATGTTCACTTATGTGATTCATTTAATTATTATTTCCTGTAGGGCTGGGACGAGTCCAAATTTACTACCCGGGTACCCCCCCCCCCGCCCCTATTATCCGACCCTACCCGGCCGCCCGCTGTAGGCCTCAAGAGATTGGTACAAAATGTCCGATTGGGAAACATTTGACCGTACACCTGTCACCATGCATTTAGATACACGTATAAACTGATCTGGTCATGCATACACTGAAGTTGACTGAAGTTTTATCTTTATGCAAACATATAAAGCCAGAAGGTATGTTTACATATATAGTCAGAAAGAAATGTGACTATTTGTCACTTATAGTGTAACCATAGAGTTCTAGATAAGTTTTGCCATTAAACGATATATATATATAGTTATGTGACTAAACTCGGGTCCGGGTAGTCCCGTGGGTACCCGGGTCCTACTCAGTACCCAGCCGACCCGAGTACCCGAGTTACCCGTCCCAGCCCTAATTTCCTGAGTACTTTGTGTTGTAACTGGTCAAGAATTCTTACCCAATCTTGTTCCCTCTGTTTGGTTCCTTGTGTTGTCTTGACACATTTGCCAGTGGTATCCACTTGTGTATGCATTGAGCAGCCTCTACAGATGTCAGCCATTGCTGGTAAATCTGAAACAGTACATTCTCATGTTCCAATTTCTTTAGAAATATTCATTGCATTTAATTACTTTTCTTAATTTTTTCAATGGTGTAACTCCATGTCAGTGGTGTCATTAACTCACTCTGTATTCTTAAGTGATAATGCTTATCAACCAGTTAACATTTATAGAGAGTATTATATGAGCATGTGTATCATACTGATATTTAATGTGTATTCCATCATTTCCGTCAGTTGTAGTGTAATGTCATTCTAACCTTATTTCGTAAGGAAGTAAACAATGATGTCCGAATGATGTAAACCATATTCTGGTGCATGGGAAGTAATATTTGCCCTTGTGCACATGCAAATTTTATGAATTCTGTTATTTCTAACCCTTTGGGTTATAAAGAGTGGTATGTTTCTGTTTGCTCATGATTAGTTTCAGGAGTCTGTACTTACCAGAGTTTTGCAGCAAATATGATGCTATGTGTGTCCTGAATTCATCTGTGTCAAATTGGGTGGACATTTTCTTCCCATCAAGAAGGAAGTCAACAAACTGAAATTTCAAGTTATCAGTAAGGGTAAACTAGCGTTTATCAGTTTGAATATTACTAACAAAAATTATGCATTGCCATTTCTCTATATTGAACAGCTTGAAAAAAGTTAATATCTGTTACTAAGGTCATTTAGCAGTAATTAGCTGTCAAGTATGTGTCCTACCTTCATCACAAATATTCCACAGCTTGTGGAATCTTGTTGCAATTGGTGATTTGCTGTTATTAGCTTCCATCGTTTCTTTAATATTTCCTTGTCGAGGAGGCCCTTTTCACTTCTCACTTGGAGTATTCTCCTCCAAGCTGACAAAATTGCTTCTTTACTTTTATAAGACGTGTCTTCACCCAAAGGATTTAAGTATAAAATCTCATTTCTTTGTGGGAACACCACAAACATGTGCCAGTGCTTTCCTGTGACATATGGAGCAAGGATCATTTCTTTCAGAAGCAGATCCACCTGTTCAAGAAATAAATTCAGTCTTTTAAACATTATTCTTTGCTATGACCATCTTTTTTACTTATATATATATTCAATGTATTGATGAATGAGCAGGAAGATGTGTTCTTTCTGAAGTCAGTTTTGCTAAGTCAGTTATACACTCTTTAAATAGCAAGTCAACTGTAATCCCCCGCAGGTGTAGATAATGTTAGATGTACAGATATAACAGGCGTATATGTCACATGTACATAAGACTTCTACATTAAATCTTGCTTCACATGTCCCTTGGAGGGAGTAGAATGTTTCACTGTTGTTAGAGGAAAGGATTTGTCATGAATTGTGATGCTCATACTTGCTCTGATTTAAGAACCATTACAAACTTTTGACAATGATTGTATTCCTTACATTCCTGAATAATGGTGGTTGTCCATGATTAAGAATAACGTGTGTGGCAACAAGGCAATCCATCAGGTATACATCATCTCGATCTCGACATTTAGCCCCGCAGTATGCATTGAGTACCTTTAAAATTAGAAAGCAATGCATTCAAACTATAATACATGTGTTGCATTCACATAATTTATTACTGGATTGTCTGTTCCAGATGTGATTATTTACGGACCACTGTTATAAACTGAGTGCAGCATTGAAACAAGAAACAACAATTTTTGCTTTCATGCTTTCTGATATTTTGATGTAATTGAATGGTTAATGTTGCATTGAACACTGGTTCAGCTATGTTATCATGGAAATGATGTAATTGCTTTTCCTGTCAGTAAAGCCCAAACTAATATTCTTCCAAGAAAGCCATGTCTTAAGGGTCATGACAGACTAAGCATAATAATTTCGGGGAAGCTGCAACTTGGTATCAGTGACATGAACATCAGAATTACCAAAACAAAAAAGATATCAATAGATGTATCATATGCCAAATAATTAGTGCCTCATCAGATTTGAAAATAATTGGTTATTATGAACGTACCTCATCTGTAACTTCATGCCCTGGTTTCAGTGCTCCAAAGCTTCTTCCCGTCAGTTTATGTCCATCTACTACAGCCATCACAGCATTAGTGTTTGAGTGAAACCTCCATACAGACCCATAATCCAAAGGTATCGGCAGCTGAAACGCAAGTGAACGATAGCTGTCACTTCTGTAATGTTAAAACTTCAAACTCGTTGGTGGAAGAGTAGACTTGGTTTTGGGGACAGGCTTGCTGAGGACTAGGGGGTTATTTCCCACCTACTCAATGTTGCCCACATTCATATGTGGTCGTCCATGGCAACGTAATGAATTCGGTGGTCACGTTCAGTTACTGTGCATTTTTCTCAAATCAATCACTGGGTTGTGAGGTCAACATTAAGTTGTGTACAGGACACCATGATATAGCTAGCTGGATTCAAAGTGTGTATTCAAAACATCAAAAGTCAGTCCAACATTTGATTACATCTACCGGTACATATTCTGTTGTATTCGTAGCTCATTGACTTACTGGTTCACTCTGTCTCCTGTTGATCTGAAGTGTCCCCTCCCCTTGATTCTGTAATACAGGAATAGTATGTTTACAATAAGTTAATATTGAAACTTAATGAGAGCAACTGTACAAACAAGCAGGGTATTATGGTACAGATACGGCACATACGTTTTTGGTTGTGTGGTCATCTGTTGTTTGCTTTACAACTGTTTCTTTCCTCTTTCTCCCCACAAATTTTAACTCTGGCAAGTCATCAGAAACATCATCCTGCTCCTGCAATTGGTAACATAACAGGAATTTTCAGTATGCTACTTTTCCTCACAAAGTCCCAAACAAAACTCTTCATTTGGTTCCAATTAATACATTTTCAGTGACAGAATTTCTTCTATAAAGAATTTTATAGACATTCCAAATATGTGCACATAACATACCTCTGTGGATGTGTTCTGCTCTGATTCTGTCAGCAGGTCTATTACAGTCAGTTTCTTCCCTTCCTCAAATGTTGCTGTTGAAGTTGCCTAGGATCAGAGAATGAAGGTTTCATCTTTACTTTCATGGTATTACAGAGATTTATGACTTGATAGATACTTGTCAGTATTAAAAAGAGATGTAAGTAAATGTTTCGATAATATGTACCTAAAATGTACACAGTGCATGGATTCTACTAATAATACAAGACTGTTTGAAGAAACTTTTAGTATATTTTGTCTTCTCTCTTTATACTCACCATAAAACTTGCCATATCAGGTAGGTCATCTTCTGACTCTCCATGCTCCTGGAAGTGGTCAATTTTATTTAAGTATTCACACCTGTTTGATTGTCATTATTCATTGCAAACTTTAATTTTAATGCCACAGAATGTAGTCCAGCATGTGTATAAAAAGAAGATATCAGTTCTTGCGCCTAAGTTCAAGATGTGTGAACGTTTTTTCTCAAAACACATGCACGTGCACACACACACACGTCATATTTATAGTATTATTTGAAAGTACATGTAATGTTAAAACATCCATTCAGTATGAAACATGCATTGCTTAAACAGATGATTGCACATATGACTAAATGTATGTTTCTCTTTTTTTTAGTTCTGCTTTTCCTTTTCAATAGTTACCTTATTTTCTGTTTTTCTGGTAATATTTGAAAGCGATTTTGCCCTCTCTGCAAGTGAAATTGTGATCAATTACACATGGTTATTTGTTCACTTTATTTCTTCTTTAAAAAATCAATCATTTGTGTTGCAAAATGTATATCCTCCTTATAATCCTGAATGCACATTTAGAAATTTCACTTGTTCATGCACCTGATGAAAGTTTTTTTTGTGTTAATTTATTGATATTGTATTAATCATTGAGTCAATAGATTTAATACAAAACTTACGCATCATGCGTTTCTTCTTGTTGAGCAAATACTTTTTCTGTACTTTTGACGTAAAGAAATTTTTAGCTGCTGTTGGCATCTGCCTGTGTTTCCTCCTTTTCCTAAAACAGTTTCTATTTTGAACAGTTAGCTTTATCTTTTCTAGGGACTGGTTGGCCTCTGTTACTGTTTCCTGGCTGCTGCACCTCATCAGTAGATCCCTCAACTCCAACAACAACCTCACACTCGTTTGTTTCCTTTGGGCATTGCCAGTGTCATTTGCAGGCGCCTTCAATGTTGTGTCACTTTGCTCTGCACCAGTCATGTCAACAGCTGATGGAGAATCTTCTGAAGAGACTTTTGGAAATTTGACATTTATACCTGTTGGCAGAGATTTCCTACAGTCTTTGCTGACATGGAACATTTGGATGTCTCTGTATTGCTTGGGAAGGGCATCCCAAGGTAGTGTATTGTGATATAATGTTGCCAGAATATGCTTACATGGAAAGAAATATCTTCTAAAGTCTTGGCAAGAACAAAGATCTTTGTTTTCCCTATTTAAAACAACATTGTAATTGTTCACTTGGTAAGCAGATTCGCCTTTATGTATAGACTGAATCTGTGTCACCTCATTTAATCGCTTTCTGCAGTGGTCAAAGCATGTCAACCCTCTCCCATTCAAGAACCCTGGTACAGAACTCTTCAATGTCATCTTCATTCTGTCATTCTTTTCATAGTAACTGAAATGAAATTGTTTATTTGTAGAATATTTCTCAAGACTGTGTATGTGATAATTAGCAGTTAACCTGTTTTTAGATTTAACTTAATTGTGTCATTTGTGCATGCAGTAATTTTGTTTTTGTATTTATTAATAATCTAAGTTTAAGTGCATGTAGCCCATGCTTATGTTTTGTTGAATATATTTAGTTTATACACATCCATCCACACTGCCTTACCTCAGGTAACAATATATGGGTTGTTCTTTGTTGTTGTCATTTTGCCTATATCCCAATATGCTTGCACTCTTATCAAAACAAATTTGCACTTCTATGAGGATGTAATATGCATCGATGAGTGTGAAATACCTTACTTAAAATGGACTATCCCATGGTTAGACATTGATAAAGAACAAATATTAATATAGTGTGACTCATAAAAAATATGTTGATTCATCCATTACTGTTTTTACAATATTTAGCTGGTTTTTAATGTAAAATTAGATCCATCAACAATGTCCTGGCTAATACAAGAAGTGCATTTCGGATCAAATAAAGGTGTATTACTCCATCTCCCACAATCGATTTGTAAACAAAGACAAGATGTTCTAAACAATAGCAATTATATGTATATCATGTACACATGTTTTGTTTAAGTATGTAAATATGTTTCCAGTGTAGTGTTATCATCTATGACTTTATGAAATCTTGCCTTACCAGAAATTGCCCTATCAGAATTCCTTTTTTGAATAACATGATCTTCAAGGTGTGGTCTGGTTACCAATTTAATCCAATCAACTGATGTAGATAACATCCAAATTTTGAGGTTACTAGCTATACTGTATCAACATTAGCCACTTCTAATGTATATTGGTAAAGTAAAGTTATTCTACAAAGACTTCTGTTATAAACAAAATGTGACAATTTTCTTGTGATACCCAGACGTTTTCCTCCTATTTACTGTAAACTCCATATCTTATATACATTGGAGTGAATGGTTTAATGATAAATAAATGATAAATTCAGATTTTCCACTATAATAGGCTATTCGTAACCGCATAACTCTCATCCATATGGGAATATTTTTGTATTAATTATGATACCGAGATCCTTGTATGCATTTACATTTTCTAAACATTCATAATATTTCTTTTTGCCTCAAAAAATAAGTATTAACACTTGGCCACAATTATCTTCAGTTTCTAAACGTTACAGCGAATCCAGCAAGTAATTTCTGTAGGTCTTTCTTGTAGAGTGTTAGTAATATGCTTACATCAGCATATATCAATCCACAACGAACAAATAGTGTAGGCATACTGGGATGTAGGCATACTGGGAACAAACCTGATATCTAAAACCTACTGTTATCTGTTATCAAATTAACTTAAGTAGTAGATCTAGATTACCTCTGTTGTCTGCTCTTGTGGTGTTTCATTAAAAGTTGAATCAGCCCTGTTATGCTCATGTCTGCAGTATGTTTCTGCTCATTCTTAAACAGAGAATGGAGCCTCTCCACTCCATTAGTAGTTGTCAGTCCCACATGCTGGTTGAAAGGTCTGAAGGCCATAGCCCATGGCTGGAATTGTAATATTAGCGTTAAATATCACACACATTCACAGTTTATATTTATTTTATCTATTTGTGTACAAAAGAATTCAACTTTTATTGTACAAGATGTTAATAAAACAAATAATAACATTGCAGCCTTTCTGTTGACTGTAACATTTGATTATCAGAACAAAATTAAGAATCCTGGCACAGTCTCTCAGATGTTTTCCAGGAACTGATTTAAATATGATGCATCAAATATGCATCATGAAAATAAAGACCAGGAGTATTCTGGATTAAAATTGGATCATATATGCATTTCACTTCATGGAAATTCAGTGGCCAACAAGTTGTGGGACTTTCTTCACATAACAAATTGCATACACTTTGTATCATTTTACCCACGTTTCTTATAGTGCATTCACCTTACATATACCTTAGGTGAGCACAGCCAGAAGTGGTCCATATAGTTGATGAAATTCATGTAGTGCCCCCACTGAGTTCTCAGTTCCTGTACTTTAGTCCCATAGCCTGACTGATCCAGGCAGGACATAATGTCGGACAAACTGAATAACAGGCATGAAAACATACTGAAATTCTCAATTGAATATTCATATAAGTAAATTTGCAAACATTTTAGAAAGTAAGTAATTTCAATATGTTTGAAAGGAAACAGGAATTTGTACCTAAAGACAAATAATATATACTGTTTAAGAAGTTCTAAATATCATAATATAATGTAATTTATAACATTAAAGAACTTGCAACACAGAGGAGATAATGGGATACACTGTGATTTAAATTATGGACATTTTGTGAAATTATTTATAGTCGCCTCAGTCTTGGCTGCAGCGATCTTAACATATATAAGTATAATAGACATATTTTGGATACTGAAATTAATTTCTGTTGATATCATACCGAAGATTCTTTACGTTTCTTTTTCATGTGTACAAATGACTTTAATCTTCCAAATGAAATGTATTTTCCCAAACAGTGCTATATAATAATTTGAATTTGAGTAAGGAATATTAAACCCAAATGTTATATTCTATTTAAAACATCATATTAAAAACTGACAGATTTTCAATGAAGTACTAGTAAATGAATCAACTGTACATATATTTATCATATGTACACGTCTAGCTTGGCAGGTATAATTAATTTATTACATTGAACCTTATGTGATATCATAATTGCTTCTTGTATTATGCGTCATGGAGCAGTATTAACAAAAGCAATTCGCTTGTTTACCATTATTTTTTCATATGTTTGTGAAAATAAAAACATTTAAATAAAAAAATATGCTTGTTTTTTATGTTTGTAACATAAATTCATCTCAGTAGTAATGAAACATTCAGGGTATATGTTGTATTGTTATGATAGTGTGTTTTCAAACTATTGTTAATACTTCTAAAGTTCTGTTGACTCATTACACAGAAAGTAGCACAGGAACATACTCTGACAATATTGCTTCCCGATCTGTCCTTGATGGTATCCTTTGCAGCCATCTTTTCCAGGCTTGCTTTACATGGAAATGGCAGATGTAAAAACTGCTTTCTGCAAACAGAAATCTTCATCGTGTGTACTTTCTAAATTTATTTCTCTATCATGAAATTTGATCCTCTTTTGTTTGAAAGGCATATCTGAGAAGTTGACAGATGACAAATTAGACCAAATTTAATGAATAACAACTTTTTTATTGTAAAGCTATTAAAGCATAACTAAGAAGTTCTTATCTATAAATTTTGTCTACTTTGTCATCTTTGTTCCATTTGTAAATGCTGCAACAACAACATGTACTTTATCACAATAACTTACATAAGTGAATACATTCTTTAACAATAAGCATTTGCTAGTATTTCATAAGTGGTTGAAATCTGGTATAAGAAATAGTGTCAGTGCTACCAGTAAAAGCCACGATTAAAGAAATGTAAAAGCTTCAAAATTTCAAATAGGTAGTGTGTGCGTGTGCATGCATGAGTGATGATGTAGGTGGACAATTTGACACAATAACTACATGTACCTGGAAAAATCTTTTGGATGACATTTTTTTCCCTCTGGTCATCATCAATTATAAATATTTCTGGCTTCCACTCCTTATGTAAGGAAGCAAACTTCTCCATGCCCTCCTGTAGACTATCAGTGGTCTGGTCTTCTGTTATGATGAAACCTACTGGAACATACACTGAATCTGTCCGTACTGCCAGTTGATACAGAGGTAGGTTGTACTTGTTAGTGTTGTATGTCGCATCCAGTAAAACAGCACTGCCAAACTTTTCAAGCATAGTCCTTTGCCAGTGTGTTGACATGACAAGTAAGAAGGTGTCACCTGAGGTGTCGCTGAAATGGCAAGATATCTTTATACACAAATATCTTTACAAATATCAATTTAACAAAGGCTGCATGGTATTGGTTTTATTAAGGCACATTGGAACATTGATGCATGTCATTGTATCCCAATTGAGTGAATCAATGCTCATGATGTCAGTCACTTGATTTTCTGGTCTAGATTTTACAGGTTGAAACAACAAATATTTAGATATACAAACAAACTTCGCTGTACCAAACACAGTTAAGAAAGATATATGCTTGCAGCACTATAATAGTTCTAAAAATGTACTAAAATTCTTCATTTGTGTAGAAGTACTCCTTGCATTGTAGCCAGAGGTGAATCAGGTCGTTTTTCATTGCAAGTCAGTCAGTATATGAAATAATTGGTCCGGGTTATAGTAGCAGGAAGATGATATTATTCTCAATAGCTCATTATCAAGATGAATTTGCTGAAAGTGAATCTAGATGCTTGGCATTACAAGTAAAAACGAATGTATGAATCAAGATGTGTACTGTTAAATCTTTTTAAATATATTCAAGTGAAAGGTGCATCTATCCACGTTAGCATATATGGGTCACATGTAACATCACTTAAAATGTTTTGAATGTCTTCAGTTTTAACATAACGATTATTGGGGGGTACGAATGGCCCAGTCGCTAAGGCGTCGCAGTTCGCTGTGCAGAGTTACATCCCTTGGACACGCCAGAAACCTATGATTGTGGGTTCGAATCCCGGTTGTCCGATTATGTTTCTAGGTTCGTCAGCACCATACCCGTGCTTGAGGGTTTCACCGAAGTGGTAAACGTCTGAGACCTGCATCACTTCGCGATTTCCTCCCACATTAAGCTGACAAGCCTCGATATAACTGGAATACTGTTAAAAGAGGCGTTAAACCAAACTCACTCACTCACTCACTCATAACGCTTATTCCATTCATGGAGAATAATTCTTAAAAAGAACACGTTGTCTCAATGAAAGATCGGTGTACTGTTAGCTTGTCTGCACTGTTATAAAGATAAAATGACTACACATCCATGGATGTATCATTCACAACAGACGTGGAGCAGGGCTAATCAGCACCTTGCGGCTGTTTGTTTATAGTAAGAGGCTTGTGCCATGGGGAGTGGACATCGGCATGTCTGATGACCATGAGCTCGTGACTGCTGATAAGATGCTGACAGTTTTATCACTAAACACAATTCTTTTGCTCAAAATTCCTAGTGAGCTAGCACTATAAATCAGCATCAGTCCAGACGAGTACAAGCTGCCACACACACGTGCATGCACGTCGCTATATAAGTGCAATAATCACCTCGCCTCACCACAATTGCACCATATGAATGACTACACGAGTGTGTGGTGAATATTGTTTATCGCTGACATCACAAGTTCTATGTAATATACACAGTTTTAATTCTTATTTGTTTAAAATGCAGAACAGCACACTCATTTGTGTGTATACAAACGGGTTCAGCGCCAACTTGTCACATCCAAAGGCTTTTTTGCAGCACCAATTTTATAGATTATTATGGAGTAGAAGCGAATAGACACAATAGCTTCACAATTATGTTTTCTGGGCTTAGGGGTATATATTAACTGCTTATGAATTAAGTTTTTTTACCTTACATTGTATTCATTATTTTCAAACGAATACTAGTATTTCCTTACTTTCTTGGTCGAAACCAGCAGCTGTCTAAACGTGAGTCTGTCTCATCTCTTTTCAGTTTTTCCAGTAAGTCTGAGATGACTCCTTGTTCCTCTTCGGAATTTCTGAAATTCAGTATGATTTTAAATAGAAACATTTGTTGAGCGAATTTGAAATAAAAACGTGCATGTTTGTTGAATCGTCATCCATTTAGTAGAGTAGAGTTTATGCGATCATTTATATCGTAGAATTGGAAAAATTGGGTTTAATTATAAAACACTACAGTGAGATGAACAAATGGTACTCCTGTTGGTCATTTTCTACAACTGTCTCAAATATACTGTTAAAATCAAATATTTGAAAACAATTCTCTTTGAATTGAAAACACATTGGGTAAATCGTCAGTCAACTTATCATATACCAGTCTAGAAACCTGTGCCGTGTTATTTACTCATATGTATACGCAGCAGTTAACGACATCACCTGTTGTTTCGTACAGCTGTGTGAATGTGGTTGTATAAATCCTTCTTGGTTGGACTGAACTGCCGATTCGTTGAATTTGGTTCTGATGGCATAAACTCCTTCATGAATTCCTCTACCCTCGCTCCAACTTCTCTGGGCCGCCTTTCACCAGTTTCCACGACTTCATGTATTTTGTTAATCACAATGTTGTCAACCCTGTTTGTGCCACCGCTCTCCTGCAAATTATTATTTTCTATAATAAACGTCGATCAAAACCTCACCTCCAAGAATGAAGAGTTGTAGGGGGAGGCCCACACTACCTGGAACCGCCCATAGTTTTCAGGCCCATACCTACATAAATACTGCGGACTGCTGAACGTTGATATAAATTAATCATTGCAATAAATGTAAGTTACTTTTAAGGACATTAACAAACTTAAATGTACATCGATCGCTCATCGCAACAGAAATATTTCATGTTTGATAGGCATTTCGTAGAAGTTGACGGGTGAAAAAGTAGACAAAAATGTTCTATGGATAACAACCTCTTTATAATACTGTAATAACGACGTTCCGGTATAGATTCTTATACCGTTGTCAAGCAAGACAGACTAATGAACGTAACAACAATTATAATACTTGAGAGGGATTAACATGAGGAGATTGACATGTACTGTTACGAGAGAAAAATATTATATTCAGGTGTCTAGCGTGTATGCATTTTAAAACCACCATAAACACATCATCAACAGATCACAATGTTATACGAGGCCCGGCCAGCTAGGGCATATTAGACACCAGTTACCGCTAAACGGTCAATAATAATAAAACCACTTACAGTGCTAAAATAATACAAATACCCTGTGTTAAAGGATGAGAGTAAATGCAGGGAGTCCGAGCTACACAAAAAGCAAAAGTGAACATTATTTATTTTAGGGTCTACGCTTAAACATATTGTTAATCAGTGCGACTACATGGGTTGACAAATCCTCGCTCTGCATCAGATATTTCATTTGGTCTGTAGGTGACCAAGATCTGAAATTTTGATTCAAAGCTGAGGCACGGTTCCAAACATAAGTTCTTAGGTCCAAGTAGAGATTTCAATTTATCAAAAAGTGTTTCTCGTCTTCAATACTATTTGTATTACAGTGTTTACAAATACGAGTATCCAAAGTAGTCATTAATGAAAACCGAAAATAGTGTAGGTGACAAAACGCAGCCCTGTTTTACACCACTAAGTACAGCGAAACTGTCTGTCATTTTACCATTTTACAAATACCTGCGAGCGATTAATTTCATATAATGATTTAACCGCCCAAAAGAACTTCCAGTTTACTCCCAATTTGAATAGCTTGTACCAAACATAATCGCGATTCACTCGATTGGAAGCTTTCATTGCATCGATATAACACACACAGGTTGGGCGATTCACGGATTTCCTGTTTTTGATAATAGAATATATGGTATAAATATGATCCGTTGTACTTCTCTTACACCGAAAGCCGTTTTGCTCCTCTGCTAATAAATGATTTGATTCTAGCCATTTAGAAAAGCGTGTAGTTAAAATATCAGCGTAAATTTTTCAAGGTATTGATAATAAAGAAATTCTACGTTAATCTAACGGATCACGTGGATCAATATCTGATTTTGTTATTGGATAAAAAACATGTGCCGCCAAACCTCAGGACAAACATTATTATCCAAACAAAACATAAATATGCGTAATAGTATTTTTAGATTAGAAAAAGACATTGCCTAACAACGATACAGTCACTTTTCGATACTTAACGTTCGTATCCTGTCAGTGATGCCTGAGTTTCTAATTATGGGTGAATAACATAAAATGACATTTTACTATACCTCGCCAGTGGGGTGTTCTAAATGGTCTTCAGGTCTCGGAAATGAAACAATAAAGCGCCGTTCAAACTGATGTTCGGTCAGTCTTCCCTCGCCCAATGCTTTATGTAAATCAGCTGCGTATTTCCGTCTTTTCCGTCTGTCACCTTTTTCGGCCTGTATATAATAAAGACATTAAAAAATGATGATATATGTTGGAAGTGATAGTCTAATACGATTCACGATTTTGACTTGTGCCATTTGTTCCCGTGATTTTCCATGTGAACAATTGACTTGCCTTTGCATATGTTTGTGACGATGCCACAGGTAGGGCGTTGCGCTCATTCGCGAACACCTCATTTCATGATTTAGTCTATTTGATAGTGATTCTTATGCATATGCTTATGATATAGTTCGAATCGTACAATTGACTCTGCATTTAGTAGAATTTTCTAAAATTAATTGAGATTATTTTATAGTTTTTATTTAATGTTATGATAAGCATAGTGCTGTTTACTGTATCAGCTGGAAAGTGTACAGTACAAAAAACACCAACTGCTTTCATTTCATCCGAATCCCCTGTTGTAATTTTCTCCAAATATATATATAACATATAGACGATTCTGTCATATCATAAGTCGCTCATGATTTTATCATTTTCTAATTAATAACATATGCCTATAACTGTCCATACGATTGTGTGACGAGATACCGCAATGAAATGCTACCCAATCGTTTCAAGGTTCGGATGCATATATTTTTTTAGGACCAAGTTGACAAATGTATGCACCTGAAATATTCATGAACCGACTTTGTTATTCTTTACAATCCTACATGTGGATTTGCAGTGTCACCTTTGCATATGGAAAACACAGCATCTCTCTGACATGCAGTTTTGCGCCACAGTCCAGTTTTGGTGTCGTGAACAGTCGCTCCCTGGTTCTTTTCCTGGCATACTGGTGTTCAGCTGGTGGTTCTTCCTGGAATAATATATTGTAACAGAAACATAACCATCCGTTATACACTACAAATTTGTGTTTAGGACGTAAATACATTCAAGCCATATTTAGATCTAAACATGTTTAGGATCGTGTTTAAATCCTGAACGGAATAACATTTAGTCTGGGGTCTAAACACACAGAACCCGCTATCGTCTCACAGCCTAAACACCACCTGAACACAGCATCTCCAAAATGTAAGCATGTTTCTTATTTAAGTATGTTTATAATGTAAACTTGTTTACGTAAATGTCCACATAATTGTGTTTATCCTAATAATCTAAACTTGTTTAAATAAAGTACATATCATTTGGCAATAAGTCAAATATGGAAAATATGTATGATATGTATTGAAATCCGATGTGCCAATTAGATTCACAGGCACTTACATAACACATATACCATCAGAATTTACAACGAACTTGGTCCAATATAAACAAAATAATGTTCAAATAAATCAAGCTAAGACAATGGTGAGATAAAGAGATAAGCTAACATAAAAGTTGACATTTGATCTCCGTACCACATGTGGTAGCGTGCCGGACTACAAATCAAGAGGTTGCAGGTATGGGTTCCTATATCACGCCGGGTATTAAATAAAGTGTTGTGTTATGTGTTGTTGCTGTGTGACTAATTGTACTTACAGAACACAGAAGCTGTGAACGTATGTCTGATTACAACGATAGACTCCAATATTTCTAAAGTTACCACCCAAATTTCAGTATCCTCAATAAACGCTAAAATACATACAGAAAGCGTCCCTTATCAAGTTACTGAAAGTGAAGATTACGGATCTTACAGATTAAACGAAAACGTATGTGTTGAGTATGGCGTTAAAGTATCTTGAGGGGAAAATATCCAACAATACTGGTAAAATAATTAGTATTCACGGTATTTTGTTTAAAATAATCTTTTCGTCATTAAAAATGTGACACTAAGTTCAACAAGTAGTACCTATATTCCCTGTCTCATGACTGTCATGATGACTTGCACAAACTTTTCTATAACTGTACGTCCCTTATACCTTGTCATATAATTGACAGCAAAACTATTATGTCTATAGAATATGTGTTTTAGGCAACGAGAAAGTACTTATTAGATTTTCACCTACGTCTGTTCAACAATTAAACACCTCACCTGACTCCATTGTTTTGTCCCCCCCCCCCCCCCCGTAACTACCGACAAAGAAGATTGTTTCCTTTCTTTCGTGAAATACACGACAATGCTAACCCCTTTAAACATCCATGCTTCAGCTGAATCAGGTCGACTTGTACTGTTTGTTAAAATTCATTTCAGAACTTACTCTAGTTTAGAATATTTTAGATACATATATATTTTATTTTTTATTTATTTTTTAAATTTATTTTCTGTATTACAGGTTTATACATGAGGCAAATGTGTATAGGTAATACTATTGTGATAATACGTTGTATCCAAATAGTAATTTTACACCCATCTCCTAATGTAACACAACAGCGGTTGCATAACATTCAAACAAAGCGACTTCATTGAAATATTTCCGTCTTTTAACTCTCAAATATATTTTATTCCTTTGTTGTCTATGGAGCGTTATCATGTTGTATACTTTTAAATGTGTGTGTGTGTATATATATATTATTCATTTTATGTAGTTTGTATTAGTCGAAAGTATTGATTTACAGAGATATGGTTATTACCTTATTCTTTTCTTTGCGCCCTTTTCCGTATTTACAATCCCACGTCTGCGATGATACAATGATATACAGGGTATCATCTTTTGGCTTCAGACTTTGATTCCTGCCATTCAGCAGAATCCGCGGTTTATCTGTGGCCGTCGGGATATCTGTATGGGCAATGAGAAAGGAATTATTTTAACGAAAGTTATAAGATCGTATGTTCATTATACCTGTGAACATGAGACGAACATATGCCTAGAACATGTAAAAGCGCTAAATGCCTTCTTTACATTATTATTATTCAGAGACCAACTGTGTTGTAATCGCGAAACTAACTGATACTCACATAATAAATACTTCTCTACTCACAGTTTTTGTTGAAGTGCTTCTTAGTTGTTGTTTTCTTGAAGCTGTATCCTGTAACATTACAAAAGCTGGCTTTGGCAAGCGCGACACTTTCGTTGTTCTCAAACTCCTGGGTATATTCGAACCTGCAAAAAATATTTTTCATATTTGATTTGAATGTTTTTCATCCGTATGATCAGCGATGCAGGTACGATTATACGGTGTATATTCATCAAATTGATGTTTATCATTGCCAGCATTAGGAAATGGTGTTTACTATGATCAGATAAACAGTTTAATTCGTTACATTTCATCATTGTAGTTGAAAATCTACAAAACATTCTTAGTTATATTATACATGTATATTTTATTTTTATCTATTTGTTTTGATATTCGTTATAACTTTGATTTTGATGTAAAACAATATCATTCCACGTAATTATCACAGCTTAGTTATAGTTTATATATCCCGCCCTCGATTTGAATTCACTTAGATTTAAATGTCTATTAGTTTAACTATGGTGGAATTATATTAAATATCTTATACAATTGCATACAAATCTATCTATCTATCTGTGTGTGTGTGTGTGTGTGTGTGTGTGTGTGTGTGTGTGTATGTGTGTGTTTTTGTTGTATTTTCTTATTATTTGTATATCATTCCTATGCACTGTACATTTATAATGCACTATTATTATTCAAATATTACAATATAATGAAATGTATGTTTGAGAAGGCCTCGTAAGTGTGTCACTTGTGCCTAGTCCATTTGATTTTCCGCAATAAAATATGTTTATAATAACAAAATCTAAAGTTGAATTAACTTACTCGTATTCCATCTTCAAATAATAGTGTAGTGATCAGCTAAAACGCATGTGGTCCTCGCTGAAAGTGTCAGATGAAAATGACCTGCTGGGTAAACCCGTCACCTGCTGGTCACTGTCTAGATTTGTCATCCTTCATGCGATATAATAAGGGGGATAGTGTGGCCCCTGACATGAATTTGTTGAAAGGTTCTCGCAATAGCTCATTGGCCAAGTGGCCCGGTAGGCATCACATTGCATAACGGTTAGTTCAAGCTACACACGTCTGTTCATCCTGAAAAGTGCCAACGCTTAGCCTCTGAAAATATATAATTTTGTTAGAAACAAACAAGTACATTCAAATTGAAAAAGACCCCCATTGAGATTGGAGAAATAAAATATATCAATATAGCAAACAATTGCTGTCGCATTTTCAGGTTCGAGTAATTAACTGATCATGGACTGCGTGGTCGATAGGCGGTGTTGATTCAACACGTCTTCCGTCTTTGAGGTATCAGGGGTTATAGTGTAAATAGCCCTAGACAATATGGGGTCATTTTCTCTCCAAATTGTGGCCACTTTCTCTACAGTTTAGACCATTGCCTCCAAATTGGTTGGGGCATGGGGCCATTTTTTCCTGCACCCAGTTACAAGGACCATAATTGCTAACAACAAAGTTACGCGGTGTGTAAGCATCTATCATGCGTTAATTCTCTTTCTTTGGTGCACTTCGTATTGTCAATGAAATGGAAACCCGTATATTAACATTTAGTCCAAGAAATGAAGCTATTGTATATATAAATATAATTTTGTTAGAAACAAACAAGTACATTCAAATTGAAAAAGACCCCCATTGAGATTGGAGAAATAAAATATATCAATATAGCAAACAATTGCTGTCGCATTTTCAGGTTCGAGTAATTAACTGATCATGGACTGCGTGGTCGATAGGCGGTGTTGATTCAACACGTCTTCCGTCTTTGAGGTATCAGGGGTTATAGTGTAAATAGCCCTAGACAATATGGGGTCATTTTCTCTCCAAATTGTGGCCACTTTCTCTACAGTTTAGACCATTGCCTCCAAATTGGTTGGGGCATGGGGCCATTTTTTCCTGCACCCAGTTACAAGGACCATAATTGCTAACAACAAAGTTACGCGGTGTGTAAGCATCTATCATGCGTTAATTCTCTTTCTTTGGTGCACTTCGTATTGTCAATGAAATGGAAACCCGTATATTAACATTTAGTCCAAGAAATGAAGCTATTGTATATATAAATATACATCTGCAACAAATGAAGACGAATCCAAATAGTGCCCTAAACAATGTTTCATTTCAGGAGCTGAGGCAATTGAGACTTGCCAAATCTTCATAGCCCGTATATTATCGTGATAAACAAGAATTACCTCACAAAATCTGACATAAGGATAAAAGCGTTGTTAATAAATTCAGTGACCAACCCGCCCTTTATCTTTCAAACGTCTCCATGGCTGTGACTGTTCATTCTCCATACCGCCGGGGCCGAGGCCACATTTGGGTATCCAGCATGTCAAGCAAACGAATTAGTTTTTCTGTTTTGTTTTTTCAACAGCACCGAATGTTATTATGTATTTTATTTCATAAGAAAGTAGGCCTTCGGCCCAAATTTACAGTATATATTTGGTCCAACACTGAACAATAAAAACGTTGTGTTGTGTTGTGGCATGATACATGTACATGGCATGGCTTTTAACTACCTTTACATGAGGTGAAGAGATCGATTAATTGCATTTAAAGAGTGTTGAATGAATAACATGTATGTTTGGTACACATCTTTCTCGTAACGTACTGTATTTGGAACAAATCAATGCAAAATGGAATATTGATATTTCATTTCAGCAAATCCTTTCATATCTTGGAATATTATCTCAGTGTCCCTTTATTATGCGGATGTAGACACGTTTAAAACAAATGCTTTTAGATGAGAATACAACCGCTTTATTTATATGCTGCCTGTGCTATACTAACCCAAACATTTTGGGCATTTTTTCCAAGAGTGCATGTGCTCGTAAACTCATGTTCTCTTCGAAAAACCTTAAGATGAAAAGACCGACTTTTCATAGTCATCTAAATTATTATATTAGGTTATATTATTTTCTTCATACTAAAAACGAGTACATTAAAGGTAAACTTGATTCTGACGTACCACGTGAGAAAAGTTAAGGGCGGATTGGATAAGAATTGTATTCTCACCACACTCTATGTTTGTGAAGTGATACATTTCATTGAGATAATATACAGTGACAAGTCAACAAATTGTTAATTGCTTCCAGCTGACTATTTTCAGGTGAAGACCATCAACCCGGGCTCCGCGGAAAGTGTCACGACGCATGGTATGACATCTTCCGACACTGAGGGGGTATTAGCGCATAACCGTCATGTGTTATGGCGAGAGAGCTGGCATCCTTTATCAGTTTCTCAATAAATGCAGTGTGATAAGATCGTATCAGTTGACAGTGCACATACCCACGAACATATGATATTTTCTTCTCCCTATGATTCGCCATGGGTGTCCGTTGCCTCCTCTCAGTTTTGCTCGTCTTCCTCCTCGTGTAGAATTTGGTCAATAAACACGATGTCATCAGAACACATAATCTGACCCACGGTTTAGCAGTAGCTTGCTGCTAATTTTTCAAGGGGCCGATCTGTGGAAGGGCGTGTGTTTGTGGCGGGTGGGGGTGAGGGGGGGGTGGGGTGGGGGGGGGGGGGGGGGGGGGTATCCAGCAAGTCCAGTTTCTTCTGTGTGTTTTTTTTTTCTCAACAGCTCCGATTAAATATAAAGTTACAACTCTGTATGATCACAGTAAAAATGTGTTTAGATCTAAATCCTAAATGGTTAGGGTTTCAACATTTGTAGGATTGTGTTTAACATGCTAAACGTGTTTCGAGTCTAAATGTGGGAAGACTCGAAGTAATCAGTTACACTTCCATTGTTTTGCAAGTACATGTGAATCTGATTGGCACATCTAATTTCAATATATATTCCACATCATATTTACATTTTACTTTATGCCCAATGATAGGCACTTCATTTAAACATGTTTAGATTATTAGGATAATACACAATGGTTTGCATTTTATCGTTAACATGTTTAAAGGTTAAACCAAATGTGTATTCCGCTTAGGATTTCAACCGAAACATGTGTTGTATGTATTTTCATTCTAAACTCATTTTACAGTGTAAGTACCATGATATCTAATCTGAAATTAACCATTCTCATGTGTGGTTAAGAAATACGTGCACCAATAACTGTATGACATGTACAAGGCAACAACGGGAAGTTTCCTCAGAGGTCAAAAATACATTTACATGAATACATGATATAAAAAAATATTTTCACTTTAGGCATTTATTCACGTTGGGCCATAATATAGTAATTTTAGAGACCGGTAGAGTAGGATATGCACACCCTTTTCGCGAATTTTCGTGATCCACTCATATAACGTCAAGGGATTTGGAGCTGAACCTTACATTTCAAGTTATATTCCCCGCTGTGGCAGTAGAGCCCTGCCTCTGTTTCCATGCGGAGTATGACCGCCTCCGTGGTCTTGTGGTAGAGCGTCCGCCCGGAGAGCGGAAGGTCCAGGGTTCGATCCCGGGCCGCGTCATACAAAAAGACGTTAAAAGATTGTACTTGTTGTTACCCTGTCTAGCGCTCGGCATTAAGGGGCTAAAACAAGGACTGGTCGGCTCGGAGTCAGTATACTGTGTCTGAGTGGGGTATTCATGTTAAACTGCGGCATGGTATCTCAGTGAGCTAGCACTATAAATCGGCATCAGTCCGGACTAGTACAAGCAGCCACACACACACATACACGTGCATGCACGTCGCTATATAAGTGCAATAATCTTGGACGCGACGTTAAACCCAATTTCACCTCACCACCTCCATGCGGAGTATAAACATGTGGAGTATAGCCTCACTACACGTATGAACAGGCCTGCACTGCAATAAGCCACAGTGGCACGCCAAGAAGTAGTATGTTTTAATTGTAAGAATGTTGTAAAGGATGAGATGCACGTGGTTGTACATTGCACCTGAAAACCACCAAAACTGCTGCTTCTTTCATGTCGAGTTCTAAATAGTGTGTTTTAACATATGTCAGATGCTGATAAGTCATATAAAAATGGGAAAGAATACTATCTGATGTCTTGTAGGAAATATTCAGAGGTAACGCACTTCCTTTTAACAGAGACCATATAATAGATAATAGATATTATGTGGTCTCTGCTTTTAAGCTTCTCTTTCCTTTAAAACATATTATTTTGAAGGCTTAAACATCAGAGAAATACTTAGTCTACTTTCTTTAAAACAATAAACCAGGTAACATAGAAATAATCTGCTATCATGTATACAGCTTCAAACAAATCTGAAATACTTATAGATATTCCTAGGTCATAACTTAATATTTTGTATTGGTACTTTGTATTGTTATCTTACTTGTTATGTATCTGTTTACATAGTTTATAGAATATTGTCACTGTCTTGTATCTTGTATCTAATGTCAAGCCCTAACGTGCTACAAAAAAGTATTGCCACACATGAGTGCAATCCAGAAAAGGAAGCTACGAGTACATGTATATCGTCATTAAATAATTTCATTTTTATGACTATATACTATTTATGTATGTTTTATTACGCAGGTCTTAAATCAAAATATTACAACATCCCAAGATAAACACGGAAAGGGGCGTGAGTATGTGTACTAATATCACGGCACTCAGACTCCGCCTTTTAATTTAACTAACCAACCGCTGTCGCGCTGAGATACCGATATATATCCGATTTGCCTTTGATTTTTTCATCACTACTTCCACAAAAATATCACACGTTTGCTTCCAGTTGATTATCTTTGAACCTCTTATTACCATGGCTCCCAATTCTTCCCGGTGGTGGATGACAGCAGTCAGCTCCAAGAAGTTGTGTCTATACTCTGATAAGGGGTGTAGGGGGCAAATAATGGACATGGACAAGGCTACCGACGCAGATATGGTGAAGGTGAGGCTAATGAATTACTCATATTTAGAATGTTATAAGTGTTTATAAAAAAACACAACATTTTGCGAGGGCGGTGTAGGCATGTCACAGATAGGTTTGAATTATCTCCCATTAACGGGTTACAATTTCAGAATGAATACAAGTAGCCAATGTAAAACAAATGTGAATGCTTGAGGAAGAGTGGATAACATACCGATCAATCTTCTTATAACATGTGCTTCGATCTCCAAATATTGACGCAATTTCAATGTTTCGTTTAGTCTTCTCACAAGTTTCCTTTCTTTTGTTTCTGCCACATTATTATCTGCAAGGTAAGAGATGGGGAAATAGGGGCTGCACTCATCAGGTTCATTCCCGTTAAATCACCCTACTGAGAGGTGTTTAAACAATGTAGTGGGGCTACTTTTTTTCATTCACTGCTCCCTTGGGAGTATAAAAAATTAAAGTGATACTGACTTACTGCACATCTTTGGTATATACAATTTCTAGATAGTTTGAACACACACTTGATTAACCACTTACTCTAGTCATTAACATTACGTGAGGTATAGCTCACTTTGGTATATATACATTTTTAGAACTCTAACATTAAATTATAGCTCACTACACACATCATGTTTAGTTAAAATTTTGAAAACAAGCAGCTCGAAATGGAAAAAGAAACAATTAAAAGCCCAACAATACCACGAGGGGACGTTTTGTTTAAAATGTTTGTAAAGTATTGGCGCGACAATGAGACAACGCCAGAGTTTGATGGAATGTCGCTGTGCCAAAATGTAGATCTATTAAAAAACGAAGTAAGTTTTCACATTTGCTCTTCAGTATCGTATCAGTTAATTCATTTCGCACCCAAGTTCACATTTTTTAACCAACAGCAGTTCAATTTAGCAGTAAAATCAGAGTATGGAGTTTATGAGTGATGTTACTTATCTGTCAGTGGTTGTCTGACAACTGTTCTTTCTGAATACATTCTGCTTCATTTTATAAAGCAACTCTAATTAATCCATAGTTTCTAAATATGACTCAATTTTATCAGTTTGGCTTTTCTATAAAGTGCTTATCTTTTTTATACCAAGGTATCAATTTCATTCTTTACTTAAAACATACACGAATCAAGTTACACAACTGTCTTTTCATTTGTAACATAAGTAACTGGACATGTTTGGAGAAAGGAGTTTTTCACTCAATACGATGGTCCTGTATATTTCCTTCTAATTCCTAAAAAAATGGACATATCAGTACAAAATTCAACCCATTTTCAGAATCAAAACAAAAAAATACATTTTTTAGTAACCGTATTTTTTCCCCGTTTCTGTTGCTTACATATGTGAGGGTAGTCTAAATTTTAATAAATATATTCCCCAAAGAAGAGGAATTTATTTTCGCTAATAGAATAGTAATAAATGACTATTATAGAACTATCCGTGAAATAACTGCTTATATAATTAGGGAACTATGTCCATACATCGGATAAAATAATACATAGTATATATTTATTCAATAATGTGCATATCTCGAGTTATCATTGCTGAGCGAATGGAGAAGTACCCATTTTTGCATGAAAAAAATGAAGTATTTCAGAAATGGTAAAGTAGACTTAAGTTTTCAGTTCCGCTACACCCGATGACACTACACCATGACCGTTTACATATGTTTCATTATAAACATTTATAACATCAATACCGCTGATTTTGCAGATTACTCTTCACGATGGTAGCGTCAGACTGCTCAGTGTAAAACGATTTGTGCCCTCGCACGAAGAAGGTTGCAGCACGTTTAGGGGCATCTCGACGGCAGCCACGCTGACGGAAACCTGGTCCCAGTACTCGGGAAAATGTATGTATAATATTATGTAATACCTGTAATATAAATGTTCAATTCATAGAAAATACAAAACATATTTACCATTTCTCCACATTGTACTTGGTTGTGCATGGAATCTTGAAAGATGGTACTTGTTGTTTCCCTGCCTGGCACGGCATTAAGGGGCTAAAAACTGCTCTGCTCGGCTCGGAGTCATTGTACTGTGTCTGAGTGAGGTATTCATGTTAAACTGCGGCATGGTATCTCAGTGGGCTAATACTACAAAATCGGCATTAGTCGGGACAAGTACAAGCAGACACACACGAACGCACGCACGCACACATCAACTTTTGTTAAAATTTTGAAAACAAGCAGTAACAAATAAAAGCTCGACAATGCCACGAGGAGACGTTTTGTTTAAAATGTTTGTTAAAGACTTGAAAACATGTAGTTTTATGGGCGCGACAATGAGACAACGCGACAGTTTGGTGGAATGTCGCGTTGCCACAATGTAAATCTTTTAGAAAACGAAGCAAGCTCTTTTGTATCAAATCAATGTTAACTGTCATATGATACGGCTCAATTTGTAATATCTTTAAACCCTGAAATAAACTGAATTTACCTTATGGTTTAAACGTGTAATATATGAATGTTTACCGGACCATATGAATACTTGTTTTTGGAAGGACGACAACGCACAACGCGACACTGTCTCTACTAGGATTCCATAATTGTGATATTTTGTAACTGCTACCATGACACTATTATCTATTATTACAGTCATACATGTGCCAGCGGCTGACCAGGAGGCCCTTGACTCGGATGTGCACAGTAAGTAAAATAAAATGTCGCTAGTGTTTATTTCTTATGTTTATCAATAACCTGGTAAATACGATTCATGTCAAATTTAACATTCACTGATAGAACTCTTTGATCATGCGTGCTGAAGAGAATAGCTTTCATAAAAAATACGCCTAAAGGATTGCTACAAATGGTACTTATATAATAAATTAACTTTATTTGTTTATTTCGTGAAAATCGAACCTGTAATGCATGAGTGAAATGTTTAATTATAAAGTGATCTGAACTCTGCCGAAACGATACAGATTTTTATATTAAAGTGAATTCATTTACGGATGTCCCCCTTTTCAGTTGCAGATAGACCCAATACCACCTTCAAAGTTACCAAGCGAATTGTAATGGACACATGCCGGCCGGAAGACAAAATAGGTAATTGTGTTTTATCTATACCATATACTTGTATTTTCTTGCGCATTTGAAAATGTTGTGACCGATGTTTACCTATGGGCGCATTCATCTATAATTAAAATGGTCAAGTAGTAGAGCGTCTGCCCGGATAGCGGAATTTCAGGTGCTCTATCCCAGGCCGTGTCATACCAAAAGACGTCAAAATATGGTATTTGATGCTACCCTGCCTGGCGCTCGGCATTAAGGGACTAAAACAAGGACTGGTCAGGTCGGAATCAGTATACTGTGTCTGAGTGGAGTATTCATGTTAAACTGCGGCATGGTATGTCAATGGGCCAACACTACAAACAAGGCATTAGTCGGGACTAGTACAAGCAGACACACACACACGCGCGCTCGCGCGCGCACACACTGACACAAACACACACTGACACACACATTCACACATTGAGACACACACACACGTACGTGCAAGCTCGTCGCTATATAAGTACAATGATCTTACACCCCATTCATATCATCTCACCTATTATGAAAGATCATGATTTGTTAAAATTGTGAAAGTAAGCAGTAACGAATAGAAGCGCCGCAATGTAACGAAGCCACGATTGGAAATGATTATTATAATATTGAAAATATGCAGAAATATGGGCTCGACAGCGCGACAGTTCAATGGAATGTCGCTTTGCCGCATTGTCGCTCTTTTAAGTCAAGTTTTCGCGTATGCTCATTTGTATATTTGTCCTTTTAATGTCTGTGTTTCAGTTTTTGTGTGTATACCGCAGTATTTGAATATGTGTACGCACTAACAAGGTCAGCTATTATTTGATCGGCTCAATTTGTAATATCTTTAAACCCTGAAATAAACTGAATTTACCTAATGGTTTAAACGTGTAATATATGAATGTTTACCGGACCATATGAATACTTGTTTTTGGAAGGACGACAACGCGACACTGTCTCTACTAGGATTCCATAATTGTGACATTTTGTAACTGCTACCATGACACTATTATCTATTATTACAGTCATACATGTGCCAGCGGCTGACCAGGAGGCCCTTGACTCGGATGTGCACAGTAAGTAAAATAAAATGTCGCTAGTGTTTATTTCTTATGTTTATCAATAACCTGGTAAATACGATTCATGTCAAATTTAACATTCACTGATAGAACTCTTTGATCATGCGTGCTGAAGAGAATAGCTTTCATAAAAAATACGCCTAAAAGATTGCTACAAAAGGTACTTATATAATAAATTAACTTTATTTGTTTATTTCGTGAAAATCGAACCTGTAATGCATGAGTGAAATGTTTAATTATAAAGTGATCTGAACTCTGCCGAAACGATACAGATTTTTATATTAAAGTGAATTCATTTACGGATGTCCCCCTTTTCAGTTGCAGATAGACCCAATACCACCTTCAAAGTTACCAAGCGAATTGTAATGGACACATGCCGGCCGGAAGACAAAATAGGTAATTGTGTTTTATCTATACCATATACTTGTATTTTCTTGCGCATTTGAAAATGTTGTGACCGATGTTTACCTATGGGCGCATTCATCTATAATTAAAATGGTCAAGTAGTAGAGCGTCTGCCCGGATAGCGGAATTTCAGGTGCTCTATCCCAGGCCGTGTCATACCAAAAGACGTCAAAATATGGTATTTGATGCTACCCTGCCTGGCGCTCGGCATTAAGGGACTAAAACAAGGACTGGTCAGGTCGGAATCAGTATACTGTGTCTGAGTGGAGTATTCATGTTAAACTGCGGCATGGTATGTCAATGGGCCAACACTACAAACAAGGCATTAGTCGGGACTAGTACAAGCAGACACACACTCACGCGCGCTCGCGCGCGCACACACACTGACACACACATTCACACATTGAGACACACACACACGTACGTGCAAGCTCGTCGCTATATAAGTACAATGATCTTAAACCCCATTCATATCATCTCACCTATTATGAAAGATCATGATTTGTTAAAATTGTGAAAGTAAGCAGTAACGAATAGAAGCGCCGCAATGTAACGAAGCCACGATTGGAAATGATTATTATAATATTGAAAATATGCAGAAATATGGGCTCGACAGCGCGACAGTTCAATGGAATGTCGCTTTGCCGCATTGTCGCTCTTTTAAGTCAAGTTTTCGCGTATGCTCATTTGTATATTTGTCCTTTTAATGTCTGTGTTTCAGTTTTTGTGTGTATACCGCAGTATTTGAATATGTGTACGCACTAACAAGGTCAGCTATTATTTGATCGGCTCAATTTGTAATATCTTTAAACCCTGAAATAAACTGAATTTACCTAATGGTTTAAACGTGTAATATATGAATGTTTACCGGACCATATGAATACTTGTTTTTGGAAGGACGACAATGCGACACTGTCTCTACTAGGATTCCATAATTGTGACATTTTGTAACTGCTACCATGACACTATTATCTATTATTACAGTCATACATGTGCCAGCGGCTGACCAGGAGGCCCTTGACTCGGATGTGCACAGTAAGTAAAATAAAATATCGCTAGTGTTTATTTCTTATGTTTATCAATAACCTGGTAAATACGATTCATGTCAAATTTAACATTCACTGATAGAACTTTTTGATCATGCGTGCTGAAGAGAATAGCTTTTATAAAAAAAAACAATACATGATTGCTACAAAAGTTACTTTTATAATAATTTAAGCTAATTTGTTTATTTCGTGAAATTTGAGCTTATAATGTATATAATGTTAAATCATAACGTGATTTGAACTCTGCCGAAACGATACAGATCTTTACTAAATTCATTAACGGATGTATATGATTTACCTCTTTCCACTAAACCTTTCAGCTATTTTGATGTTATTGATTGAAATAAAGAAGATATACATCATTTGTGAAAAAAATAATGTCATGAAAACATTTTCAACAATTATTTTGTAAATTTCAGATGATTCACCAGTCAAGAAATTCAAGACAGATCATAGAGGTAACCTGTTTTCTCTCTTTAAAAGTCACACATAATCAGATACATATGTGAACAGTAAAAATTTCAAATTACGATGTACTTAACATATGCCATTTAATGTACAGGTTCATATGTCACAATGTTGACATGGTCTCTGGGATAATGAAGCCTTGATTTCTTTAGATCTGTACGCGTACAATGTTGAATGTTCCCCTTTTTATTTGTAGATAGACCCAGTACATCCGTCCAAGTTATAAAACGAATTGTGATGGGCATATGTAGACCGCAAGACAAAATCGGTAATTGTGTTTTATATATCATACATACATACATACATACATACATACATACATACATACATACATACATACATACATACATACATACATACATACATACATACATACATACACGTACGTATTTATTTATTTATTGTTGTGTTTATATACATATCTTCACGTATACGATCGACCGAAGAGACACATAGTTGTTTACTAATACATATAATTAAACATTTCAGTGATTCCTACAAAGAAAGTCACAGGCAACTTAATCTTGAAGGACTCGGGTAAATATAAAAGTTACACAAAGTTCACCAAATCTACCTAAAACCATTATTAATTCCATGAGTAGATTCTTTTAAGTTCCATATATTTTCCGTTATTCCCTGTCTTATCATTTGTAATATTTGTATACTGTAAATCTTGAAGTTAACGCGAGCGTGAATTAAATGCGAAAAATGCGAGTTATATATTTTTTCTGAATATCAGGTGATGGTTTTCCATCATTATACAAACCGCCACTAACCGAGTCATACTTTTCTTGGAGACGGAAGAATCACTTATAGAAGGAGCAGTTAAACATTTGCTTCATACCACATATGCTTCCTTTTCGTAAAACCCGAGGCAAAATTATTTCCTCAAGTATTTTATGTTGCAATTATGTGTCTGAAAAGACATCCCAGTATTATTATGATGCAACTTATTTGCAGATTTATCTGTCGGTACCATGCAGTTAAGTGACGTTTTCATAGCCTAATATCATATACATGTATTTTCCCTTAATCCACAGCGCCAACAGTCCCACCCGGTATAGACAGGGGTACAATGTGCCATGAAGGTAAGAGTAACTTGTCAAAAGTAGCATTCGAATAAGTAACGTCTTCAGTTGCATTACGAATGGGAAGCAATATTTTTCACCTGGATCTCAGTATTAATTTCTGATATATTTATATTTTATATTTCAGGTCAAAGAATGGTACTTGGGGACTCGCTATGCAGGGGGATTGCGGGCGATATACCCAACTGTATAGTCTTGAGCAAACCCGGATCTAACCTTAAGCGAATGCACCAAACCATAACCAATTTAAATGTAAAGTCTTATCGCTCTATTTTGTTACATGTAGGGACAAATGACATTTCTTCCTTTAATCCACATCGATTTCTCTCTGAATATATGACACTCATTAAATACTTAAAATCGATTAACCCTGATGCCGTTATAATGTGTTGTGACATTATTCCACGCATCAGGGATTTCAGCACAACACAGAGGGTGGTAATCCATGCGAACAATATCATAAGGCATGTGTGCACTGTTCTTAGATGTAAAAATGTGCGAACATCCAAAAGATTTTTATATTTGGGAACAGGTGGACCAAGGCACTATCTATATTGTTCGGACGGATTACACCTGAATGATAAAGGGAAGTATCAGCTGAAAAGGTCATTTGCCCAAGCCCTATCACATGCCCATCAGTAAAGATTTGCTTTTGTCCTAGTCATCCTATTTAGAACTGTTTAAAAGAATTAATATATTCACTAGTTTATAAGAAATTTGAAAAATAGTTTTCTGCTGATATTTCCATTTATTTCCTTATTTATTTTAGCTTATGTCGTAATTTATAGGATTTTTATGCTTTTCAAAATATGGTCAGAATAACACTCTTATAGTCCCTACCTACATTTATTTAATGCTTATGGTAACAATCTTGTTCGTAGTAAATTGAGGTCTGTATTCTGATGTACTTAGACACTATTTATTCTCGCAGTTATTGTAGTATGTGTCTTTGCAATTCTTAGTTACTGTTTTCTGATTAATTGTAACCAATAGTCATGCCCGGTAAAGTGAATGTTGTGATAACTAATTTCCCTTCCCTTCTCAGGACATTTTAGACCTATCCATATTATGTTGTTTTGGATTGTACTATGCATAACCCAAAAAGTATAACATTTAAATATCGTGTAGAAATCATTGCAGACCTTACGCAGCAAATTGTTATGTGAACTGTAACGTATGTTATATTTGGGATTACACTGTCTTATCAAAGTACACGTTCTGATACTTTTTAGGGTCCCCATGTCATTTGTCCCTACTTGCACTTTCGTTATGTGAACTGTCCAGTAATACTGATTTAAAAATAATAAACTTTCCTCTTATTTTGGTTAGTTTCCATATTCCAGTGCTAAAAAGTATTTGATTATACATTTCTCTGTTTTTCTTCCAATTTTTCCGATATAAACAAACGATCTAATCTTTCATTTTGGACTAGTTTATCTCCATGAATACTAGTAACTTCTTCTTGTCATATTGGTGTATTTCCAAGCACGTATCTATTAAACGATGTTGTTCATATTACCTTTTTGTTTTATTTACTTTTTGTGGTTAAAGCTGATTCATCTGCAGCATTCATCTCGCCACACAAGCATAAGTAATCTGTCTCAAACCGAGAAAGATTATTGAAAAAGCATAGACTATCTGAATTTGGACCATATGGGAAAATCAAAGACAGCGTTATATGTAAAAAAAAGTAGAAACATTAAAAGCCATAACAAATCGTTAAAAAACAGTCTGCAATAGCCTCGAAAGGTAGATACTTATAGAGGGCGTGGAAGTCCGTTCACACTTTAGTGTCCAGAAGTTCTATATGACTTTATACTATATATGTTAAACATTTCGTACTTTAAATGTGATGACGAACGCGAAATCCCCTATAAAGGAGCTCTCCATAGACAATTTGTTTGGATTCTTTGAAGGCTAATTCTAGATATTGTGACGGTTTGAATACGAAAAACCGTGTTTGGAAAACAGGGACGGAAGGATGCTAAACCTTTGAATTATGTCACTTTCTATTTTCTTAGAACTATTAAGATGTCCATCTACACCTTTGTTGCAGAGAGTATCTTTCTAGCTAGTCTAACTTTATTTGAAAAAATCGTTGAAAAATGGTCTCCAAAAGTCTGTTCATGATATTTATAGAAGGCGGGCATTATGGTCTCGAAAAGTAGGTTGGTGATATTTATATAGGGCGCGGAGGGTTTGGAAAACAGGAACGGAAAGGTGCTACACCGGGGTATATTGTCACTTTCTATTTTTTATAGAGTTATTAAGATGTCAATCTACACTTTTGTCGCAGAAAGTATCTTTCTAGCTTGTCTAACCTAATTTTTAAAAATCGTTGAAAAATGGTCTCCAAAAGTCTGTTGGTGATGTTTATAGAAGGCGGCCATTATGGTCTCGAAAAGTAGGTTGGTGATATTTATATAGGGCGTGGAGGATTTGGAAAACAGGAACGGAAAGGTGCTACACCGGGGTATATTGTCACTTTCTATGTTTGTTTAGATTTTTAAGATGTCCTTCTACACTTTTGTCGCAGAAAGTATCTTTCTATCTTGTCTAAATTAATTTTAAAAAATCGTTGAAAAATGGTCTCCAAAAGTCTGTTGGTGATGTTTATAGAAGGCGGCCATTATGGTCTCGAAAAGTAGGTTGGTGATATTTATATAGGGCGTGGAGGGTTTGGTAAACAGGAACGGAAAGGTGCTGAACCGTGGTATCTTGTCACTTTCTTTTTTTTATAGAGTTATTAAGATGTCCATCTACACTTTTGTAGCAGAAAGTATCTTTCTAGCTTGTCTAAATTAATTTTTAAAAATCGTTGAAAAATGGTCTCCAAAAGTCTGTTGGTGATGTTTATAGAAGGCGGCCATTATGGTCTCGAAAAGTAGGTTGGTGATATTTATATAGGGCGTGGAGGGTTTGGAAAACAGGAACGGAAAGGTGCTAAACTGGGGTATATTGTCACTTTCTATTTTTAATAGAGTTATTAAGATGTCCATCTACACTTTCGTCGCAGAAAGCATCTTTCTAGCTTGTCTTAATTAATTTTTAAAAATCGTTGAAAAATGGTCTCCAAAAGTCTGTTGGTGATATTTATAGAAGGCGGCCATTATGGTCTCGAAAAGTAGGTTGGTGATATTTATATAGGGCGTGGAGGGTTTGG